CGTAAAAGGCCGGTTCAGGGTAGGGGCCTATATAACACTCATTTTCTTTGGTGTTAAATAAATGAGGGAAATGACCCTTTTCTAGGTCATCAAACCCTAATGCTTCAGGTATACGTGCTAAACGCATAGGCAGAAAACTGATCGAGTCCAGCCATCTTTGTCTAAGTCGCTTGTCATACATGCAGAGCACACGTGTGTGCCTCTCACAGTGAGACTAGGGGTTAGCCCCTGTCTCGCGAACTCTTCTAGGATTAAATAGTTGTCGAAAGCCGCTGCATTGTGTGCTATGAATGTGTAATCACAAAACTTTGGTGTTCTAAAATATTTCAACATTCGTTTAACACAACCATCGTGTGAAAAGTTATATTTATCACCATCCTGATCAAGCGTACAGACTAAGACGGGGACATGCTTGTTACCATCGTACCTTGTCTCAAAATCATAAAAAATGTAGTTGGTTGTCTCTTGAACCACTTTTAAAGGTTTGATGTAACAGCTATGTTGCTTTTCACCACCTTCAGGGAGCTCAGCATCACAGTGGATGCATATTGGAATTTTACACACGTGTTTTTTAGCTGTGTTGTGATACAGATGTTTACATTCTTCACAATATGTCACAGAAAAGCAAGGTATTCTATCGTGGACGGGGTCAGGGAGTTTATGCTGATTAAAGCAGTGGGTAGATTTACAGATGCGTTTACACTGAGGACATTTAATTGTTTTGTTTTCCCCTGCTGTCCCACACTGTGTGTAACAGATGTTACAAAGGTATTTACAGAGATGGTGCAAACTAGCACCGTATGGCTTGATACAGTATTTGCACACATATGGACTCCCAAAGAACCCCGTTTTATTTTTGATATGATAGTAATGATTCTCATAAAGGTATAAGGCTATTGTGCATTCGTGCATTCTATCCTGTGTTTCAAATGATTGAAGACGTTTAGTCGGTGGATTGTTATGAAAAACAACAATTTTTATGTTCAACAGATTCTCAAACTTTGACACATCATTCAGTGTCACGTTTGTTTGTTGATCCAGACCAACTGCGGCTTGCCACTCTTTATCGAGTAATTTACTATGGGTATAGTTCGCATGAAATGCATGAGCTATACACATGGCAAAACACATGGCATTTTCGGTATTGTGAGGGTTATAAAGAAATTTACCTTTCTTTAGCAATATTGTGTCGTAGGCTACAGCACCAAGTTTGAGCCGCTGACCACCACCACCACTTTGTGAATGTGCTATACTCACTATTAATGTCATTTCATCTTCTATAATGGACTTGTTGTTACTTTGTAACACTTTTTCCACTTCCTCTAAAAAATGGTCAACATTGTAGTCATTGTCAGAGTTCAAAATAACTTGAATATCGTCACTAAGCGAGGGCCCTCGTAATGCAACATTCATCACACATCCTTGTTCTGCATTGTTTACAGCCTGTGTTATTAACCTCGTTAATTTTTCATTTACTCTTTCACAAGCCTTTACGGTATCTGTAGGGTCTATACCTCGAAAATCAATGTGCTCAGACATTACCGTGGTATTAAACTCTGGTATTACGTTAACATGGACCTCCCCACCTGATTGTACGTTAGCGGGGACATCACTTTGTTCAGTAATCTGTACAACACCACCCACTTGTATGGTCTCGTTACCCTCATTAACATTACCCTCCAGGGGGTCTGACTCTGTGTGAACTATACAATTTCTTGAAACAGTTGTAACATTGTTGTGTCGACTTAAAACAGAGCTGCGTGTAGGTGGTTCGTCATTTTGCGTATCCATTTCTATAGTTTGACTATTAATACCTACACAGTTGTTTGTAGGTTGTTGTATTGTGGGTTGGATAGTATCTTTACTTATTGACTGGTTAACATTATCAGCATTTGAGGTAATGTCTGCTAGCGAAGGCCTTTCAGCTATGACATGGGTCGGTGCTATTAACCGTTCTGCAGCATGGGATGCACTTTGATGATTTGTGCGAATTAGTCGATCAATACACGGATACGTGTTACGCGTTGTTTGATAATTAGTACGATCAGTGTTGCGTTGTTTGATAATTAGTACGAATTAAACGTTCCACTGATGCATAAGTGTTAGAGCGCTGGCCATAATTAATTCTTATTTTTTTAGGAAGTTGAGAGGGTGCTGTAGCGTTAGGTCTTTTAGTGTGCTTCACAATCGTAAGCATTTTCGATGGCTTTCAAATGAGAAGTGTTTTCATTGATTTGCTCTATAACAGCCGGCTATAGACGTGCTCGCTTGGTTATCCACTTGTGCAATTCTATCAGCTATTACGTTTCCCGTGTTTTTAAGGTGGTTGATTTCAGTAGTCAAATTTTGAATTTGTATTTCCCCGCGTAAGGTTTTTGTTTCTAATTCCCTGTTGTGTATAGAGGCTTTCGTGTATTGAGTTTGCAATTGTAGGACCTCTCGTTGAAGCGCGCGTGTCTGTAGTTGGGCTCGTTGGCCTCTAGCGCGTATTTAGCTCTGTGTATAGTAGCGTTTGTACGCTGATTTTGCAACACCAACACTTGTTTAGTAACTTTTACGTGCTCAGTTTGAAGATGGTGAACTTGTCTCTTTAACTGATGTATTTCGTTAAGTATACGGGCCTCTGTGTATTTTACTTGTTGGTTCACAGTTGCTAGACACCTGTCTGTATGTATCTCTGCACTAACACAACGTGCCTTGGTTGACTTCAATTCCTCACGTATGTTGGAGAGCTCTGTTTTCACAAACGTTTTTTCACTAGTGTTGTTTAACAGATGTGTGTTTTCTTGTAGAGTATTCACCTTTGGTGTTAAAGCATTCTTTACAGGCCCTTTTGCTGCATCAGGAGCTGCTGCGTGTCCAGATATTGGTTCAAAGTATTCCTCACGGTCCGGGAATGGTGTTCCTGCGTTTAATACATCTTGATCGTTGTTTGGTATACCTTCATCGCGTATAATGGCATCAATGTCGAGTGTCGCTATAAAATCGATTATGTTGAAATCCTGGTTACTGAGGGCTGATTCTCTGTGTCTTCGTCACCCTCTGATGAGCTAAAATAGTGAGAAGAAAATTATAACCTCTATCATTATAAAATTATAATATGTAACTCACCTTTTATCATCATCATCATCCCCGTGATTAGTTATTTTGTGTCCGTTGCGGCGTGATAGAATTGCTCTAGAAAAAAATATACCTCTCATAAAACTTGTTATATAAAGTTAGTATATGTACCAACTTACGGAGCTTTATGTTGATTTAATTGTTTTAATTTATGCATCAGGGGCATTGACTTGGTGTTTAATTTACCTGTGCTGTATAAAATGAAATAAAAGTATTAAACATCTGATTAAGACATTAAGGAAAATGAGATCTTACCCTATTTCATCCGTTGGCTGTATACCTCTCGTAACTTTTGCTGTTGGAGTTAAATCTTCATCGGTGTTATAATGTGTCAATAAACGACCCTTTCCTAGAGATAAACTAAATTAAAACATTTAATATGAATACTGAAAAATGTTATATTAATAACTTACCTGTATTAGACATATTGCATAACCTTCTCTTAGACAGTCGCAAAGCGTTTGAACCATTGAAAAACTTCTAATAGACCTCCCACCCATTCTGATTTGCTGTTAGTACGACCTCCCAACCGTCATCATGATAACGCTATCACACACATACACCTAAGTGCCGTTAACAGGGAGGACCTGCAACTTAGCTGTTTTAGAATAAACCGTGATCATAAATCACTTTAGACAACTGTGAAAGCATTTACTTTATCACACACACACAGGGTCAACAGAATCTAACTCATTAAAACTCTTTGAAAAATACCGTGCAGTAACACCTTTCACCACTTGCTCAAGAGCGCCGTCCCCTTTCTGGGGAGTTTTAGGGTGCAGTACCACCTTTTCACCACTTGCTCTCTACCGCCGTCAATACTATCTACTCTGGCCTTATCCATCCGTACACTCCGCTCAATCATCATCTCCTGCATGTAACGTCTGGGTCTGGTGCCTGTGTTTGCAATTACAATCGGTTGAATATCGACCGACCAATCAGAGAGCGCGGGAGGCGGGTGTTGTAGTTAGCTGTGGGTTACGTCAAGAGTTTGCGTCGAACGGGAAGGTTGTAGTTTGGCAATGGTGAAAAATGCGATAGTAAAGTAATCCGGTCTGGTTCTATCAAGAAACTGAAGCCGGAGCAAGAGGAATGTTTAGCAAATGTAATCACTGGAAAAAATTGTGGCGCTACTCCCCACGGGCTCCGATAGCGGCAAAGGAGATGGCTAGGCTAAATGCTAAATGCTAACGACTCACTCGGGCGCATTACATACGTCACGGTAAACTCAGATCCAATGGTTTCAATCTGCAAAAGGAGTTAACCCCTCCCACCTGTTAACGGAGTCAATGGAGCAAATCCAGACCTTAGTATGAAATTAAATTTGTACTATGGTGTGGTACGACCAGGCTACCAACATTTGATACGGTATGGTTTTTTATGTTTACAGGGACAGTGTACAGTAAACATTAGCCAAAAGGAGAGATGCATTGTCCCAGGTTGTAGCAGCAGTGCTAATTTACACCTGTAGTCCCTGAGCAGGTGGTTATTTGTTTTGGTCCCACCATAGAACACTGCTGAGAAGACACAGACCAGTTGCTTTTTTATTTTTTTTGAATAAACAATGTCATTCAAAATCACACAATCGCATAATCAAAAATAATCATAAACATTTCTTGAAAAGGATTTGTCTTGATATTCACAAATATGGCACATCACCAACATGGCCACGGTTTAGCTCACTTATAAGCTCGCCCTAGACGTGTAAGTGTGTTCTTTCATGCCATTTTTAGATCGCCGGTCTCAATAACAGTCTCGGAATCTATTATGAAAGACTATCAAAAGCACACAAGAAAAATAAAAACAGGTCCCATGTCCTCCTCATAAATACTGTAAGAGTGAATGGGTAAACGTGACTACTGTTCTTTCTCCTTTAGCAGTTAGCTTATTGGCGCTCCCGTGGTAACCAGCTTGTAGTAGGCCCCCTTTAGGCCCATGAGGTGGTCGTGCGTACCCTTTTCGATGACATACCCGCGGGACATGACGGCGATAATGTCTGAGTTCTGGATGGTGGACAGGCGGTGGGCGATGACGATGCAGGTGCGCCCCTCTCTGGCTTTATCCAGGGCGTCTTGCACAGTCTGATACAGAAAAACACACACAATTGCACATGGTTACACAGCGCCATTAGTTCCCTCACAGCACAATTATAGCAATTTGACAATCACGCCTTGATTACTATCATTAGAATGTTCCAGTGGCTCAGTGCGCTGTAGGGGCCTCTTTTTCTCCCCAGTGAGCTTCAGCCATTTTGAGGCCCATCCCACAGCCCACACTCACACAGGAGCTGATAATAGACATCATGAATGATAATGACACTAATGGTAATGATAATAAACTTCTGCCTGCTCCTGCTCTTTGGCAAATTTCAGGCAGAGGCACAGAACGCTTCTTTAGCCTAATGCAGAGCTCTCCTGTCGTACGTGTGCTTTACCTTCTCACTCTCTGTGTCCAGAGCGGAGGTGGCCTCGTCCAGCAGCAGGATCTTGGGATCTCGAATGATGGCTCTGGCAATGGCAATCCGCTGCTTCTGACCACGAGACAACTGCGAGCCCTGTGCTCCAACGTTTGTTTCGTATTTCTAAGAGGAGGACACGACATGTATTACACCTTCTTCATGCGTAGTTAGAATTTGGCGTAATTGCATTTTTGGTAATAATGAGCACTTTCTTTGACTTTCTTTGACATCAGAAGATTCTGTTAAATTGCTGTTTGTGAGTGTTCCTTCTTTAAGAGCAGCTGTTTTCTGATTTTACCATTTTGGGATTAATACCAGCTCTTCTCCTTCTCCTAAAGTGTCTTCTGTGCTTCTTCAGCTGTGTCCTACCGTTGGTCTGATAGTAATCTTTGTCCTTGTATTTCTCTATTCCTTGCTTTGTGCTTGAGCAAACTCTGAATCCAGCCTGTTCCCTCCACAAAGGCAGAGCAGTGCGTTGTGTGTTGTACCTCTGGTAGGGACATGACAAAGCTGTGGAGCTGGGCTTTCTTAGCCGCTGAGATGACCTCATTCATGCTGATTTCCCTGGAGTTGTCTCCATACTTGATGTTGTCTGCAATGCTGCAGTCAAACAGGATGGGCTCCTGGGACACGATGCCAATCTTGGAACGCAGGAAGGCCACATTGACATGTGTCGAGTTGTGGCCATCAATCAGCTGCAGAAGGTCATTGATTTTACCATTAGTACAGAAAAACATTTGATTTCACAGAAACCTAATGGACAATCATGCAAACAAAATGAGTCTGTAATTTCCATACCAACAACACAGAGGTGAGACTACCCTTTTAAATGAGGCTGCAAATCAGAACAGCATTTCCAAACCACTTCCAACTCAATTAAGGCCATTTGAATCTTGGCACTGATTCTTTACTGGCACCAGAGCAACGCTCCACTCCAGTTGAAGTGCTCTCTTTTTTAAAAATAAAGCACTGCGTCAGCACAAACGTCCGACTGATAAATGAATCAGTGTAGGATGAGAATCAGGAATGGCTCAGTCCACAAGTACACTAAATGTCCGCCAATTATCTGTGACACTGACAAACCGCTGCTTCCATTTCATAATGTCCGATAACACACTTATCTGCAACAGCTGGACCACTTGACATTTTCTCAAAAGCTCTTTGATAAAAAAAAGTATTTTTTGCCCTTGTGCAATTTGCGTGATACAAAAACTTGCTATGTAGCGGTATACAGTATTTAAATAGGTTATTGTTAATCCAGTTTGACTTATTTGTAGGTTGAAATGAAGTATGATGGCATTCAGTAGAAAGCAAGTAACCTTTAGTTACACAGAGCATTTTACAAATAAAAAACACATAAAGCGTTTTACATTTTGGTGTGTAATTTAGGCAAATATTCCCCTGATTATTGAGGATTTCAATAGTTTGCACAGGTTTTAGTTGGACCCAAAAAGCTGTTCTTATGATGCATCTTTTATCATTTCCTCTCACCAAGGTCAGCGTCTTTAAGTGCTACAAAAGTGCCAAAAAAGTGCTATATTGGTATAATGCATAAATAACTAAACTCACCACACGGCCAGCATCTGGGTCGTAGAACCTCTCCAGCAGCTGGACACTGGTGCTTTTGCCACAGCCGCTGCTGCCCACAAAGGCCAGGGTTTGGCCCGGCTTCACAGACACATTTAAACCATTCAGGACCTGGATGTCAGGCCTGGTGGGGTAGGTGAACTTACAGTCGATGAACTCAATGTTGCCTTGGAAGTTTTCCTAAAACAACAAACAGACATAGAGCAAGGGTCACTAAGAGACCAGAGTGGAAGAGTGCCTCCCTGTGGCTCAGTCAGGCACTGCAGCTATCTGTAGAGCAATGCATGAAAGACAAGGCCCCATGCAAAGTTAATGAGCATAGAGAACGAAACCATCTCTGTTGCCTTCATAAATCTATCATTAAAAGAGGACTCCTGTTCTCAGGGGACGCCTGTGTGTAACATCAAGGATCGTACCCATTTATGTCCCTTGTCGCTATAGACGCTGATCAGAGGCACACGGTCGAGCAGCTGGAAGAACCGTGCGGCTGAGATCTTGGCCTTGGCGTAGTCTGGTGTGTAGGATGATGCTCTGCCCAAGGCCTGACCACCTGTAATGATGGCCGAGATCACCCTGGAACCGGAACACTAATCATTTTCTGCACTTTTTTTGACCAATATCACAAAATAAACTTGTCATACCTGAAAACCAGACTGAAATGGAGCCCCTCTTGTCGCACCAAGTATCCCCCAAATCTGTAGGAGGCTGAGTTGGTGAAGAAGACGATGCACTGAGCAAAGCCGTAGCAGGCCCCGTACACGTAGGCCTTCTTCAGGGCAGCCTCGTACGGAACATGGAGCTGAGCCTCAAACTTTTCCACAAACACTTTCTCTTTCCCTAGTCCAGCGATGGTCCGGATGTTGTTCAGGGCCTCACCAGAAATCTGTCAAACAAACAGAAAGAACACAAACCTCCCTGTTACAGAGGGAAAACAAAAACAAAAACAACAGCTTCTGAGAACAGTGGTTTTTACTATCAGGGGGTATTGCCTATGGATCAAGTATTTGCTTTTCTCTTATCTATATCCTATTTGCTGCTGCTGCTGCTCACACCTACATTCTTCCCATAAGGAATCATTAAACTTTTATCCAGGATTCTTGAAATGAAGAACTAAGCACATGTGGCACTGCTGTCAACACCAAGATAAAGAAAAGAGATTTATAGCCCACTTTTAGTTTGAAACACAAGATTTGGTTTTGTCCTGAGGCTACGTAATCTGAACCTAAACCCAAACTGTATTATACTAAAATGCCCACACTGAGCTATTTGATTGAAAAATATATTTCTTACAATGCAATGTTATTGTAAAACGATATGATAAACAATCATTTTGAGAAATTATAAAACTTTGATTATTTTTTAATCTATTATTTTACATTATTTCTATTTCAATGTATTTTCCACTATTTTTTTACTAGAGAGTTGCAATCTATCTCAAGGAAATGATGTTACAATTAAACTAAAGCACCCATTTGAGCCAAAAATTGACTAAAAAATACAATTAATGTTTGTGCAGAAAGAATGCAGAGTATGAATTCATAATCTGTACCTTTTGAACGGGGAAAATTAGGGGCGTGAAAGATTTTTAACTGACCTGTCCGGCTGCCTCCATAGCTGCTTTGTCCTGTTTGGCAAAACCCGTGAGCATTTGAGCCTGAAATCCTCCCGAGAGAACGATAAAGGGAAGGAAACACATGATGACCATCGTGAGCTTCCAGCTGAAGTAGAAGGACATCAGGAGGGCCACGCCAATGTTGGTCAGACAGTTCACGATCATTCCAATCTGGGAGCCAGTAGCCTAAGAAATCACAGGGATGTTGTGTTGCTAAAATATATCATTTCTGTGTATTTTCTGTACAATTTATTTAATTTGAACTGTATTCTCCAAGGACCTTACTCACCCCCTGGACCTGTGAGGCATCTGTGGCCAGCCGTGTGGTCAGGGCTCCAGGGCTGTTCCTGTGATCATCAAACCAGCCAACCTCTTGGCCCAGTATGGCATGGAAGCCCAGCCGCCGCAGCCTCCGGGTCAACAGTTCTCCAGACTTTGAAAAGGAATAACCCTGCAGGTGCACCACAGTGGCACCACATGGACGTCTCTTTACATATGGCTTTACATATTCTACAGGACTATTTGAAAATCACACAATGTACCTGAAGCATCTGTGTGAAGAAAGAAAGCACTCCGACCATGAGAAAGAACAGACAAATACTATCTATCTCTTTGCGCTGCTTCACAGGATCTGTAACAGAGAAAGTCTGCACACAGAGGGGACTCTCACACTCAAGCTTTTACACACTGATGCCTTCACATTCTCAGTGTCACTTACAGCGAGGATTTGACTGAAAAGCAGAGAGTACACAGGGATGACACCTCCATTAACGGCAGCTCCAATGGAGCCAAAAAACATGTAGGGCCACTCAGGCGCGTTGTACTTGAGGATCCTGGCCACGGGGGCTGGCTCCACCGGCTCCTCTTCGACTTCAGCGAGTGCATCAGCCTGTTTATCAGAATGCATTACATCAAAAGGTGCCTGCTCATAAGCTGATAAACACACACTATGCTTGGTCATTCTCTGACAAAAGAATTTTACTTTGCATTAGAGGGAGTATTCATAAAAATCTATGGGTTTCCTTTCTGACAATGAGTTTAGTCTTGGTGCTAATATATTATTGCCATTCTTTATATTACTATATTTTATAATCATTTCATTCAAAACAAGGATTTTTCCTTCTAATTAGCAGTCATTTGCAATTCTCTCCATATAGATCATATACATTTAGTTTTCTATAGTCATATTTACATTTTCATATTAGTTCATTAAATGAATGTAGAATAGAAAAGAAGATGGCTCTTGCAGCGTCAGACCACTGTTTAGATGCTTTTGAACCAGTGCACACCTTTGATTCTTTTGCCTGAGAAAACGAGTATGCTCGAGGGGCGAGATCTCCAGTGAACGAAACTGAATCAGGAATGAGGCTGGACATCTGTGATCTGGACCGCTGGCGAATGGAGGCCCTGAAAGTCAAAGGCACAGACTGTTGTCTCAACCTTGGCTTCACAATAATTTGGCTCATCTTCGCCCTCAGATATAGAGAGAAACTCCACACGTAATTTGGCCTTTTCTTACACCCAAAGCATGGATGTAAATGGATAATGCTTCAAAAAGGCAAATGATGGTGCTGCTTATTAATAGCTATTTAAGCAACCCAATTTAAATGCGAGCTCCTGTTTGAGTGAGACGGGAGCAGAAGGCGGAGGTAGCGATGTCTGTGTGTACCTCAGACTGTCTCTGTAGCTTCCTGCTCTGATGATGTTGCTGCCCTCCAGCTCCTCTTCAGCGTTAGCCACTAATACAACACAAAACAGTGAGTCATCTGCATTTAACGTCTTAAATTGAGTGTATGAAAAGATGTGTTACTTTCTCTGGCTTTCTCATTGAGAGCTTTATCCCCTTGGCTCTGCAGTGTGACCAGGGTAAAGTAGACTCCTTTCCTCTCCAGCAGCTCATTATGTTTGCCTCTCTCAACAGCGCGTCCGTGTTCAAAACCCACAATAACATCTGCATTCTTGATAGTGGACAAGCGGTGGGCTATGGAGATGGTAGTTCTACCCAGACGCACCTGTGAACTCATCAGAAAACAGTCCAAGTCAAAAATAACTTCAATTATTCTGCGATGCGCGAGTATGGAACCTACTTTATCCAGGGCTTCTTGAACCACAGCCTCACTCTCATTGTCCAGGGCAGATGTGGCCATGTCCAGCAGCAGAATACGAGGGTTTCTGACCAGTGCACGGGCTATTGCTATGCGCTGCTTCTGACCTCCACTCATCTGACCCCCACCCTCGCCCACCAGAGTTTCAAATTTCTGAAATTTACAATCATGCATTACATGAAGAAAACATCCATCCATCCATTTTCTACCCTTTAATCCATTTCTGGGTCAGGGGGGTGGCAGTCAGAGATGCCACCCAAGTCTCATAGCACCAGCCCCTCACTGACTGCTCTCTGAGAGTGAGCATAGCCTTGATCTTTCAGTGGGGGCTTTGGGCAAAGTGGGGTTAAGTGTCTTGCCCAAGGACACAACGACAGCAGTCATCAGTGGGAGTCGGTGGAGAAGGTGTAGAGGTGGGAATTGAACCCACGACCTTCTGGCCTTAGGGCCAATGCTCTACCAACTGAGCTATTGTCGCCACTGAAGAAAACATGGTCAACACTAGGACTCTATTGGCACTAGGACTCTGTCTTAAAGAGACAGTCAGTGATTTTTTCCCGACGCATTTTTTTAAATATTGAGGGAAATCGTCCTAAACCCTAAAAGTTATCATGTATTTTCAAATAGTAATGGAATTGACCAGATGCCTATAGTCTACAAAAATTATTCAAAAATATTTTGGAGCGGACCCTTACAAATAAACCAATGGGAGTCGTTCATCCCCAACGAACCAATGGGATGTGTTTACCCTCTTCACCCTCTTCCTGTTTCTCGTGAGTGCACCGCAGTTATCGTATTTTCTAAAACCTAAAATGGCTGAACAGAAAATGCCAATTTCACGTTTGCTTCACTCTCCCTGTTGTGACAAAGAAAAGAAAATGCTGGATGTTTGGTTTGGTGGAGAGGGAGGGGAGGGGGGAGTGGTTTCCACTTGGTGCTACTGCATCTTTAACATCTGTTCTTTTTTTCAGATGTACATTTACTCGCTTTTAATAAGTGCTAAAACTGATGAATATAACTTGAAATACAGAAAAAACAGTTGGTTGCTATGGTAACACCATTTGAGAAAAACAAGTGGCTATTAAAGCACCTCACATTTCAAAATTAAAAGATAATTTCCTGAAAATAATGATAAAGAAATAAACTACCTAAAGTCTAAACATGAACGAAGCTTTGGGCGTTCTGTTGATCTCGTACCTGTGGCAAGTCCATAATGAAGTGAAATGCGTTGGCCTCCTTTGTAGCGTTAACAATATCGTCCATTGTCACCCCTGGGCGGCCGTAGCGGATATTCTCTGCGATGGAGGTGGCGAACAGGACTGGCTCCTGCTCCACGATGCCAATCAGAGAGCGCAGCCACTGGATGTGGAGCCCTCGGATGTCGTGACCATCCAGGGTCACCTGCAGCACAGGGCGCCCAGAGCAGGTGGCTCAGCTCAGGTTGATGGATGATGCTATTACATTGCTTTGCTGTTTTCATATATTTTGTGCCACACTTTTTTTTTTGCATAACCTTGACTTTGCAACTTTTGGAGGCTATATCTTTCTGCAGAGGCTGAGAGAAAAGAGGATCATTGCGTAATTCCAGTAATGTTTAAAATGAGGCAGTGTGGGCTTATTGTCAGATAATGAAAGAGATGATCATGTACTCTTATCAAACTCAAAGATTCTAGTCTATTTTTAAACCTGCTCTGAATGTAAAAAGAAGACAGCTGCCACACCAAAGGACTTAATTTCCAGCTTCACAAAAAGGCAGCTGACACAAGAATGACTTTATTATCACTGCTTTACCTTTGATTGTGTGTTTGAAATGGAAACGCACCATGCCCTCTTTGGGGTCGTAGAAGCGCTGGATGAGCTGAACCGCGGTGCTCTTTCCCGCTCCACTCGGACCAACAAATGCTGTGGTTTCTCCAGTTTTTACTGCAACACTCAACTGATCCAGGATCTACCACGACACATGATTATTACACAGACGACAACGGGCTTATTTCTTTGATTTGATGCACCTCTCAGTTGTGTACCTTCACTTCAGGCCTTGAGGGGTAGTGGAAAGTCACATTGTGAAACTCAATATCTCCTTTGACCCTGTCCAGTTTATATCCAGCCTCTGATAAGCAGTCGATCTCGGGCTCCTTCAAGACACAACTCAGCTCAGCAGTTGCCATAGTAATAACATCCCATCCGTGTTATTGCTAAGCCTTATAAGGAGACAGAGTTATAATGTCAAGCTTCTTACTCTGTCAATAGTTTCAAAGATGCTGGTCGCAGCACCACGGCCTGCAGCAAAAGCTTCCAGGCACGGGGAGGCCTGCCCCAAGTTCATAGCAGCTATCAAGACCCCAAAAAACACCTGCAAGGAACAAATTAATGCTATTAACCAGACAAATAGATAGATTGATAGTTGATTGATTCCCGTAGGAGAAATTCAGAATAGATTTTTTGGTGCCATTAAACTGGAACATCAATATGAGAAGGGTGATCTGAAACCTGCAGCAGTGTTCCTGGAGTGTACTCCTGTGTGTCCACCACCAGACCAGACCCGTACCAGAAGGCCAGAGCGTAGCAGAGGAAGATGATGAGCCACATGTATCCAGTGAAAAAGCCCATAATGAGGCCCTTCCTGATGCCCCACTGCTGCGCTGACACCAGGTTCTTGTCATATCTGCACACAGAAAGGTTTAGTGAGATGAAGCTCCAGGCTGCAGTCTGCATAATCCACCTGTCCACTTCTTTTTTCTCCCCCCCGAAAGCTGCCACCGTTCTGATAGCGGAGAGAACCTCGTCTGCCACAGCTCCTGCTTTAGCGTAGGCCTGCAGCTCTAGGCCCGTCAGCTTGGCCACAAACTTGGGACAGAGTAATACGTTTTTACAATGAAGTTATTCCAAAAGAAAGATATCGAGTGATGAAGAGACTTACCAAAGCCATGAGGCCAGTGGCAAGACCAATCAGAGGACTGGCAGCCACAATAACAAGAGTCAGTTTCCAGCCTTTCACAAAGCCAACGCAAAAACCACACACAAAAGTAGTAAAACGCTGCAGGAAAATGGCCACTTGATCAGCTATTGCGTCGTTGATCTTGTTTATATCACTGTAAAAAGAATATAGGTCCATCTATTCATATCTTCTGTGCTAATATCTATTGCAAGGCCACAATGAAAGCACTTACTCAGACATGCGAGTGTTGAGCTCCCCAACAGAAGTGCAATCAAACCAGCCAATCTCCATCCTCATCACTTTACTAAAATACTGTTTTCTGATCAGCTGAATTTGTCTGGCTGCCGCTGTCACCCACAAAGAAATCTACAGTTGGGACAATCAGTTGGTTATGACAACAGAAGAACTAGACACTGTCAAAATGAGAATACATCTATTGGGTTATATTTTTGAAGTTCCTTTCAATGTGTACCAATATTAATCATTTCAATACTAACCTGGAAGTAGCCAAGCACAAACACAGCTACTCCAATCCCAACATAGTAAAAGGCAAATTTGGTCATCTCATATTCAATGTCTAGATTCCTAAAGATGGGCATACGAGTTAATAAAACATGGGAACTCTGCATAAGATGTGTAAACAAGGTTTTAAAAGCAAAAAACCTCTAATATCCCATCATATTAGATGTAGAAAAAGCCTGCCTCATGCATTTCTCACCAGCCACTTACCCACACGGGCGGCCGCTCAGAGGAGTGAGCATCTCCCATGTTGAATTGTTCATGATGCCCCAGGCGGACTGGCTTGTGTTCAGTCCAGCAGTGTAGTTCCGCCTCCACTGGATGGTGCCGTTAAAACACTCTTTCCTGTCGTCCATGAGTTCATTCAGCTCCATGTCGTACTCAATGAACGTGTCTGTGAGCAGGCCAAACACCAGCAGCATCAGGGGCTGTGCCGAGCCGTGAAGCACCGCGCACACACTGCCCACCAGCATCATCAGGACGTCTCGCTTTGTGGAGAAACGGAACTGCACGCAAACACAGAGAAGCTTAAGACAGCATCCAACACAACCATCAGAACCAGTGACACCAGGGACTTTACCAACTGGAAGAAGCCAACCCTTATGGCCGGCTGCTCTGCCTTTCTCGGGGGTCTGAAAACAATGAAAAAGAACATTTAAAGTGATTTGTGTGATGGAGAAAACAGCTTTCATATCATTTGGACTTACTTTGTCTCATCCTTAGACATACTCCTAAGTGGAAAAAATACATTTTAGTCAAATTCATCTCCAACGAAACTGTGAAATGTATGGACTTAATCATTTCTTTCATTTGTCATCTGCCCCTTACGGATCAATAACTCGCAATGTGTTTTTTATCATTGCATTTCTTGTTTTTGAACTGCTTGAGTCTCGGATCTGTGTTGGCAAATTCAACGGTTTTGTAAAGTCCTCAGAGATAGCTACTGGTGTGGTACAAAAATAAATTGAATGGAATTGAATTTTGTGTCATCCCACAAGAGAAAACCAGATTAAATCTCTGGCACTAGAAGTAGGACAAGACACCACAAAAATGATGATGACAAGAGCTGTTGATTGGGACATTGGACTCGCTCAAGCAAGCGGTGTATTGTCCAAAACATGCATAGGTTGGTACAAAAGATTACAACCCAAACGGCAATAGACAGTTACTATAATGTACATGAATAACTTACATGTAAGATCCGGCAGGTTCTGTAGAAATCATGCAAATAGAACAAGTCAGAAGTATTATCAGTTACTGTAAATATGTCACTCAAGAAAGGTCACACACACACACACCTTCATCTGAGACTTCATAGCTCTGATTTTCTTGGCCTAGTTTCTTAATGCTTTGTAATGTGACGGAACCTGCAGGCATTTTGATTCATCTGAGGAAAGAAGAACCATTTCTAAGTGTTTAGCAGGTAAACATTCAAGGCAAACAGAGCGACACTTACCAATGTGTCCATGCAGACGTAGAAGTGCCTTCAGTGTGGTGGATAGATGATGGATGTTGTGTAGCCCCAGCCAGGTCCGCAGCCACCTGTCGTCTGGCACTGGTGCACGTGCTGTTTTTGAGCTGCAGTGGTTTGGGTGGGACGTGGGGTCAGAGTGTGTGTTTGAGGGTAAGTGTCCGGCCGGTTGCTGTTGAACAGGTCAACAACCTCTCAGCAAACACCGACCCAGTAACTGTGGCCTGCATCACTGGATGGAAGACCAGATTCACACAGATTCTATTCATTTTTCCCAATCTACATTATCTCTAGACTAGGATTATTGGGCGAATATAGACAACTCAAAACTTTGTTGTGGTGGTATTCATAGTTCATTGGTTGTAGTTAATAATGCAGCTCAATTTGTTTTTATACTGCTGCTTTTAGAGAGAATATTATAAGTAACAAAAAATGGTCAATTACTAACAAAATAGCGAGTAGATATTATAGAACTTGATACATGTTACCCATACATTTTGTTCTAAGAATGAGCTTGTTGTAGCTAGTCAATGTACGCAAGGTCCCTGACCCTGACTTTCTCATGCTTTTTGGGACTTTTGACAGCCAGTAGAGGTGGGTAAATAAAACATACATACTGCAGTAGTTGATTTTTTTTAATGAACTACATCTGAAAAACATATAGTTGTAATGTTTCAGCCATGGATAGATTGAATTGTAGTTGGTTGTAAAACATCGACCGACGCTCTTAGAAGTCTGAGCAGATTACTGGTGAACTGCTACATCTGATTAAATAGTTAGGATACAATGGTAACAAACTTCTTCCAGCATTTGTTTCAAAAATGAATCTCAAAGAGGTTTTCATTGTGTGAAAAACAAAACTATAATGGATTACTGTTTGACTGTTATTCTTGGGTCTGCGAGTTGATTTCACACAAACATTAGCCCAAAATACTTGCGGCTTGTGGCTCGATTGTGGCATAATGGGATTTAACAAAGTATTATCTGTTGTACTGTATATGGCGTTTGAATACTTGAGTATGTACCACTTTTTATCAATATCTTGCATCAATTTGCTTTCAAGATAAAATCGACTTTTTTGATCTCACACTGGAGAAATGTACATGCCACATTAAGGATGGATAGAATCACTCAGAAGTGTGCAAACATGCTAAAGGTTAAGAAATATAGTCTGTGCAGGATCCTAATTATGTACAATAAAAACAAGAGTGGGAATGGCAGTGCATGTGTTTTCAGTCCTAGTGCATTTGTGTCTTAAAGTGACTTGTTGTACAGTCTGACAGCGGTTGGGATCCTTCTTGCACTCTATTTGTTTTTGTGGGCGTGAACAAGAACATTCTAAATGATATGTTTATGTTTGTGAACTTACACATTATTAAAAATTAATTATATGCAATTAAAAATAAATTAGCGGGCCACAGTATACATAGTTCCCACATGACGTCACTACATACGGGGATTTGCCGACCCGGCGCCATTTGTGTTGGCATTCTGTGGGCAAAACAATAGAAAAAGAAGCTGAAACGTGTTAATGTCGTGATAAAGTTGAAAATGGTCATCTCCTGCTGGGTCAATGGATGTTCAAATCGTGCCGGAGGTTCCGTTAAACTTGGATTTTACAGTATACCCATCATTAGACTTCATGAATGTGAGAAGACTAAGCTTTTGTCAGAACAACCACGGAGGTTATGGCTTGCGAAGATAAACAGGCAAGAAACTCCCTCAAAACACGCAAGAATATGCTCGGAGCACTTTGTGTCAGGTGCGTATCGTATCTCATAATGTGTTGACAGACGTAATTTACTCAGTACTAACTTGTGTATGCTGATATCTGGTAACTTGAGAGTTTCATTATTTAGATTACTTTATTATGAGGAGGATCGGTGTCGGAGGATCGGTGTCGCGTCCGAGGCTCTCGAGGGCAACGTAAATGTATTAAATAGATAATAGTTCTATGGTGGGCTAAAACAATGTTCACAAACAGCATTGCTTCTGTAAAAAGATCTGTGTCATAAAATAAACTGCTCTTTACGCCTGGAAAAATCAGTTGCCCACCATTCACCAAAACATACGGTCAAAAACGCGGAAATAAACAATAACAGCAATCCAGAGTGTACGTGGGGCATTAGCATTAATTAAATTAATTGTTAATATAATTAAAATAATTAAATGGAGCTCCAACTGGTATTAAATCTAAAGTTTTTGAGAAATGTTTGCATTGCTTGTTAATTTTTGCTGCATAATTTGATCAAATATGTAAAACATGTCCGTAGCACGTTAAACTGTGGTGCCATTGTATTAATATACAATTATTTGCTCAAAAGGTGCCCTTTTTTTCCAATTTGCGTTTGAATATCTACATTTATTCTCATTCTTCTGTTTAATGGAATGCACAAACACAGCAGCGTGCCATCAAAGATGGCGTCTCCGAGGAGGTCATGTGACATTCATTGGTCTGTGGGAACTATGTATACCAGTGTTTTTCAACCACTGTGCCGCGGCACACTAGTGTGCCGTATGATATTGTCTGGTGTGCCGTGAGAAATTCGTCTACTTTGTCTAAAAATAACTGCATTCGCTGTTGACGAGCGGTGACTTGTTTTGAACTGTGGAGTAACCATGTAATACTTTTTCAAATCAGTAGATGGCAGCAGATAGCTAAGTACTTTGAAACTGAAAAATTGGATGCGACCACTGGCTACAGGTCAGCATTGTGGCGAGAAAGGTCAAATTGGATGCGACCAACAAATGTGGGAGGGAGCGAGACAAGAGCTTTGTGGCGAGTGAGAAGTGAAAGTGATAGAGACGTTTTTGAAAATGAATTATGCCGTTTCTGAACAGGATTAACATCCTCCGCTCTGCCCCGGGGCAGCTGTGGCCGCGTTGTAGTGGTTTAACTATGAAATGTACAATTTTTGTACAACAGCTCTCGCGAACGCACTTCTGAACTGGGTACCGAGCGCAGACCATAGTCGAGTGGACAGAACCATAGACATGCGGACCGGACAGAACCATGGACTCGCGTTCAGGACCTCCCGTGTCCCTCATCCAAAACTCCTGAATTTAAAGCTCGGATACCAAAATGTTTCCCATGCACTAACAATGCATGTTCTTTGTGTGAGTTATTATTTGACTATTTGGGCAGAGAGTGGATTTTCTTAGTTTTTTTCCACACAGTTAGTGCCACTTTATTACCAAACTCTTGTTAATTGTATCGAGAAATGTTAAATAAAGCTTAATGTCAAGGCCTGGACTTAAGCATTTTGATGAGAATAACTGTATATTGTGAATATAGGCTACAGAGTATACTGTATACATTATAAGATAAGATAAGATATACTTTATATATCACACAGAGTATGTACAGTATATATTTTTACATTAGTACTGTATACATTTTTACATTTTCTCCTGGAGGTGTGCCGCAAGATTTTTTCAGTGAAAAAAGTGTGCCTTGGCTCAAAAAAGGTTGAAAAACACTGATGTATACATATCCGAACTTTATTCAGCGGCTTTAGTAAGAGGCCAATTTAGACACTAAAAAAGAAACAGCACTGCCACTTGGTGGTTAACAGGCGTATGACTGCTGTGTGCAGAAATGCAACAAGAACGATCATGTAATAATCGTCCGTATTTTGTAAAAGAGGATTGGAGTCTAAGCAGTCACTATGAAGCAGAAGTTCCTAGTCCTGAACTTTAGTCCAATTCAATCAGACTGCACTGACCACTGTGAAACAGACGGTTAGTGTTTTCTGAAAGAACTCCATTCTAAACTTATTTAGTGCCTTTTTTTAACACACGAGACGCATCACTGTTGCGTTAGTTTGATAGAGGCGGAGTATTGTAATCTTGGTTACAGTAATGTAACTTCACTGGCTCGTTACTCTCAGTATCTCCCGTGTCTCTCCCCTGCCAGCAGAGTAACCAGACCCTCGGCTTGTTTTCCTGGAGTGAAGTTGGGTTGCTCCGCTTCCTTTGAGGCGGGGCTATCATTTGGACCTTACTCAGAGCTGAAAGATCACTGATAAAAACATTTCTCAAAGCCAGCATTCCTCCGCCAGCACAGGAGTCTGATCTGCGAAGACTGAGCCCCACATGCAGGTTTGAAGAATATTTAATTGTTTTTCAGATTCTCCCAGATAGGTGTATCTCTGTAATGTCTACAGCAGGGGTGCTCAATACGTCGATCGCGATCTACCAGTCGATCGCAAAGGTAGTATTGGTAGATCGCATTTAATAAATAAAAAATTACTCTAAACGAATATATACAAAAAACTCCGGGCAAAGTGGAGATTTTTGAAAACTCCGTTAATGCATTTGTGTGTAGACAGAGATAACCAGAGTTTTGCGTTCTCGCACGCCACAGTACCCCCCTAAATTCCTCTGATCACTGAAGCATGGATCATACTACCTTAAAAACTGTTCGCTGTGAGATGCTCGCAGCAGCGAACATCCTCCACATCAGAGAGCAGCAAAGTGATCGCAGGGACTCACGCTCGAAAACAACCAAACCAGGACTAAACCAGGACTAAACCAATACTAAACCAGGACTAAACCAGGGCTGAGGACGGGGTCAGTGCTTGTAAACATACGTCTTTAGTCTTCTATGACTGTAAAAGTGCCGTTACCGGCATCTGCATCAAAGCTCCGCCCACTTCTGTGTTTTTCCCCAACGCAGGACAGGACGTAAGAGACGCACATGTTTGGAATGTTACGAACGTGACTGATAACGCAGATGTGTGGATGCAAATTATTTTATAAACGGAGGAGGGGAAATATTTGGATTTAAAAAACCAGGCATGGCACATGGACATGGCACCACAGTCAAATGACATCTGTGTTTTACTCAGTAATGTTTTACTGACACTTAGGTGACTGCACATGCGCAAACAACCGCGCTCAGTGCAGGAAAGCAAAACCACGACAAACTTGTCAGCGAGTTGCCACCAATTTTCCGGACTATGCATCCCTGGCCGATTCAATTCAGTGCAAGTCATAAGAGTAAACTCGGGTAATGACAAAAAATGTACATAGGTAATTGTGTTGTGTTGTGCTATATTGGCTCATGCTGTTTTGCATGTACATAAACATACATTGTAGATATAAAGAATATTTTTTGAAATATATGATTTACATTTTTGTAGTAGGTAGATCATTTTGACTTGATCCTTTTATAAGTAGCTCGCATGCTGAAAAAGTGTGAGCACCCCTGGTCTACAGGGTTTAGAGTTCAACATTAGATGCTTGATAATTCTATGGCACGAGTATAGGACAACCCAAATGGCGTGTTCTGTTGGGGATAGTTGGGTGTAGTTGTATTATTCAGATGTTTGAACTTTCATCCATTCTTATCAAGTGATCATACAAAGCTTCAGACCTTTTGCAGCCTTCTACTTGAGTGTGTAATCTCTCCTTTTTCTTGTTGACAGTGAATTAAGAAACGAAATCCCTTGACTTGCTCTGGCTAACCCGCTTCTTGCTTTTGCAGACATGTTCCTGTATTTCTTGGCACTAGTGGTTCTCTGTTATCTGTACCGATGGTTCAAAGAGCTGCCCAGGATCTCAGACAAGAGCAACAAGTTTGTGTACATCACTGGCTGTGACACTGGCTTTGGAAACCTTTTGGCTCGACACCTGGACAAGCAGGGCTTTAGGGTCATTGCAGGATGTTACAGTGAGAAAGGAGAGGAAGACCTGAAGAAATCCTGCTCTGAAAGGTTAACTACAACACACCTGGATGTGGCCTCCAAAGACAGTGTGGCCAAAGTGGCAGCATTCATCAAGGAGAAAGTAGGACAGCGAGGTGAGTTCTGACTTTGCTTTAAGACAGATACACATTATTAACAGGCTAATAACTCAAATATTCCCCAATGTGATTTCTTTAGGTTTGTGGGCCGTGGTGAACAATGCTGGTGTGTCTGTCCCGTCTGCCCCCTGTGATTGGCTCACCATAGATGACTATACATACATGCTGAACGTGAACCTGAACGGGGTCATAGCTGTGACTTTGAGCGTCTTGCCACTGATAAAGAAGGCCAAGGGAAGGGTCGTCAATGTCGCAAGTGTGTTTGGAAGAATCAGTCCGACAGGAGGCCCTTACACCGTCTCAAAATATGGAGTGGAGGCTTTTAATGACAGTCTGAGGTTCGATCTTATTTCCCTAACAAGAAGTACACCGTGTAACTTTTCTGGCAGGCATCCAGCCATTTGGAGTTTGCGTTTATACATGACTTTTTTTGATCTGATTAACTCTAAAACATGCATGGAGACAGGCCACAGGCAGAGAAATTACATTGTGTATTTTAGCTAACTATGAGTGAAGTATTTGCACTAACTGTCTAATCTATTCTGTCTTCTCTTCAGGATTAATATGCATGATTTTGGAGTCAAAGTCCTCTGCATTGAGCCTGGGTTCTTCAAGACAAACGTCACCAATGCTGATCTCATTAGCAAATCTGTGACGTCACTGTGGGAAAAGCTGCCCCAGGATGTGAAGGACGACTATGGACCGAATTATCTGGACAAGGGTATACTTTATGTGCATGGATGTTTGGACAAAATAAGTCTTGTATACAGAATCATGTGTGGTGTATTTTAATGTGTCCTAATATTTGCGTGTTTGTTTTCCAGCTCTTAAACAACTGCGAGTTGACGTGGCGAAGCTTAGTGATGGCGATCTGATGAAGGTGGTCAGCTGTATGGAGCATGCTGTGTCCGCTGTCCGACCCAGGACACGTTACTCCCCTGGTTGGGACGCAAAGTTGTTCTGGCTGCCTCTGTCCTACATGCCCTCGTGTGTCTCTGATTATATTCTGACATCACAAAGCATTCCTTTAGCAAAGGCTGTAAAGTAAATCTACATGCGGTGTGTAAATCCATTTTCTCAGATTCTTTGAATCTTTTAGTCGGGGTTAAGAATACATAGATATTCTGAATACCATCATTAAAATGTTTTTGTAACATATTTCATTTAATGGCCCAATCAGTGCTGTATTCTGAATCTTTGTAATAATCAGTATATTAGTGTAAAAAAATAAGTAGCACATTAAGAGTTGTATTGTATGCACCATTAAAAGTTGCAATTTTTTTAAATACCTTGAGACGGGTAGATTTTTGAAAGCTCAAATGCTGTATGAGTTTCCCCAAAAGCTATAGTAGTGTTTAATTTGAGCAAACAATTGAAAAGTTGAGTTTGGAATGATCCCAAGCAAGCCAACTCAGTAATCATGCTGTCTTGTGCCATCCGCAGGTCAAATTGACCCACCATCAATTACATATTTTCAAAACTAGGCCTGGGTCATTTAAACACTGAGCAAGTGGGACAAGGGTGATCAGTATCCATGGTTAGATTTCTCACCCTGATGTCAAAGCTGAAGTTTAAGTCAATGTTTGAGAAGTTGTAATCCAAGGGTAATAAAGTTAGTATTAAATTATGTACCACCATTAGAGATTGCCTTATCAGCGTATGTACATGTTAAGGAGTAAGAAACAATTTGCCTTCAATCCTCAGAAGTCATGATCTTTCACAGTCTCCCCAGCCAGACTTGTCAATGATAATCAAGGTGAACTTATAATGGCAGTTTTTTTTTTTAATACACAAGTCAGAATGTTTAGTAAAGGACAATATAGCTCATGTTTCACCGCTTTATTTTTAAAATGAGAATGTTCTGAACCTTCAGGACAAATGTGTGAGCATACAGATGTTGTGGACAGCACTTTATTCCATCCTTTAATAGGAAACATTAAATAGACTTTATTAACAGGTACGATTGGTATTTTGACAAGTTTACAAACCAAGTGCTCCTAACCCCTTCTAGAACAATTTACTTTTGATCCTTTAAGCTAGCTCCTCAGCCATCTTCTCTGCTTTCTGGACAACTTCTTCAATGGGACCCACCATGTAAAAGGCCTGTTCAGGTAGAGCGTCATACTCACCTAAGAAAAAAAAAAAAATTATATATATATATATAAAAAAAGTCTACATAAGACAAAACAAATTGGATCAATATTTTCCTTACCTGCAAGAATGGACTGGAAGCCCTTGATGGTCTCCTTCAGTGGCACCAGCTTTCCCATGTGTCCAGTGAAGACCTCAGCCACCTGGAATGGCTGTGACAAAAACCTCTGGATCTTGCGGGCGCGGGACACTGTCAGTTTGTCCTCCTCAGACAACTCGTCCATTCCCAGGATAGCAATGATATCTTGCAGAGATTTGTAATCCTGTAGAAGACATTAATTGAGTATAACTTTCCGAGCAGAAATGTTAATGTTCCACACATTCAGACGAACCTGAAGAATTTTCTGTACTCCACGGGCAACATCATAATGTTCAGAGCCGACAATGTTTGGGTCCATGATACGAGAGGTGGAGTCCAAGGGATCCACAGCCGGGTAGATTCCCAGCTCAGCAATGGCTCGAGACAACACAGTGGTGGCGTCCAAGTGAGCAAAGGTAGTGGCTGGGGCAGGATCCGTCAAGTCATCAGCCGGCACATAGATGGCCTGGAGGCAACAAATGACAAGTCAGGGTTCTGAAACAGATCCAGCAAGGACTTTTCTGAACTCAGTTTACCTGCACTGATGTAATAGAACCCTTCTTTGTGGTGGTGATTCTCTCCTGCATGGTTCCCATGTCAGTGGCCAGAGTTGGCTGATATCCCACAGCTGATGGGATACGTCCCAGAAGGGCAGACACCTACAACGCAAACGTTACAGAAAATATGAATACAAATGTGTTCATGGACCTGTAATCTTGTACTTTTAGACAACTGACCTCAGAACCAGCCTGTGTGAAGCGGAAGATGTTGTCAATGAACAGAAGCACATCTTGACCTTCTTGGTCACGGAAGTATTCAGCCACAGTCAGGCCAGTAAGAGCCACTCTGGCACGGGCACCTGGGGGCTCGTTCATCTGTCCGTACACCAGCGCCACCTAGTGGAACAACAGAGTGAGCAGAGCACATTTCATAGCCCAGTTACATTTCACAAAACTCCTTCCAAACCTTTGAGGTTGTGTCTTTCAGGTTAATGACACCAGACTCAATCATCTCATGGTACAAGTCATTTCCCTCACGAGTACGCTCTCCCACACCAGCAAACACAGAGTAACCACCATGGGCCTTGGCCACATTGTTGATAAGCTCCATGATCAACACAGTCTTGCCAACACCAGCACCACCAAAGAGACCTGATAGAAAAGCGGTACATTTCATGAGTGTAGAGTCATGTTGACATGGATTACCATTAGCAGACATCTTAACATACCAATCTTTCCACCCTTGGCATAAGGAGCAAGCAGGTCAACAACCTTAATACCAGTGACAAGGATCTCCTGCTCCACACTCATGTCTGTGAACTCAGGGGCCTCTGCGTGAATTGGGGCAGTCCTGGGGGGTTGGAAAAAAAAAAAAAAAAAATGACACAATTACATTGAGTTTAATAGATTAGTATACATTATTTAAACCTTAACTCACTGTTTTGTTGAGATGGGACCCCTCTCATCGATTGGTTCACCAATTACATTCATAATTCTGCCCAAGGTCTCAGGGCCGACAGGAATTCTAATGGGAGCACCAGTGTCCAGTACTTGCTGTCCACGGACCAAACCCTCAGTACCGTCCATGGCAATGGTTCGCACTGTGTTTTCCCCTAGACAGCAAAGAGGACAAAGAGAATATACCTTTTTTCCCCATTGGAAACGTGTAAAAAGTATGACAGCACTTACCAAGATGCTGTGCCACCTCCAGGACAAGCCTAGAGTCGCGGCCAGCTACTTCCAGGGCATTGAGGATGGGAGGAAGGTTCTCATCGAACTGGACGTCGACCACGGCTCCAATGACAGCCACGATCTTGCCACTGGCTACGGCTGCTGCGGCAGCAGGAGCAACATAGTTTCGGTCTAAAACACATACATATGTGATTAGACCATTGCACTTAGATAAATGTAGGACAGAAATGTAACGTTTCAACTTTAGGTACAAATGCAGCGGACGGGAGGTCAGTCAAATGAATGAGTGCTAGCAGGTTGAGCTGTGATGCTAACGCAGCTGCTACAGGGTTGTGCACGATATTCCATTAAACATTTAAGGTAAAATTATGCTATACTCGAAATTATGAGAATGTACAGCACAATATTCAGTCATTTTGAAAATGATCGCCTGAATCTGACTGAAGGCAACAAGACATGGCCTCACGTCATTTACAAAGGTCATTCCTGCTAACGCGCACTAACACACCGGATCAGGAACAAACACTGAGTTCTCAGACTAAACACTTGATCTGGATTCTCTCCTGTGACTGCTGCATGGACAAACACAGCTCTGAGAGTATTTAACAACACACTGGCGCTGAAGGCCTTCACGCCCCGCACGTCGGCGTGGAGGTGACTTGTTAGCACTAGATTAGCATCGCCACGACTTTGTCACTGCCGAAGGATTGTAAAAGCACGGCGTGGTTTAAAGGTCAGACATGCGGCACATACGTGAGAGGACGGCCGGGGATCCGACCAGAGCCTTCAGGGGCTGGGCTCCAGGCTTCAGGGCCTGCAGTGCCCCGGTGCAGCAGCGTCCCAGAGCTCCGAGCATGGTTAAAATGGCTGAAGGTGGAAGGAGACAGCGAAACTGGGCTTTATAATGAGAGCAGCTCCCACACACCGCGCATGCGTCAATCACCTTCCACACACTGCGCATGCGTCAGAGTGATGCGGTTATAAGCGTTCTGAGCATGCGCCCAAGCCATAACCTCGGTGACTTTACTACTGTATCCTTTATCCTCTAAAGCAGTTCTGGCCAACCTACTCTAATATTCTTATATATAATACGTATATTAGTTATTGGGACAACAATGCAAATGTATGTATGTACAATATTACTAAAATAAACTTTTCTTTCAAATACATCTGCTGTTCTGTCACACACATGTTGCATTTATGTAGTGGTCATCATTTATTAAAATTAATTAGAAACAGTGCGTATGTCTGCACTTGTGTTTTACTTGTGTTTGCCAGTTCCCTTGTGTATGAACTGTGCTGAGAGTAGTCTAAATGGAATTGTTTTTCTTTCCTCTTGCAAATCAGTGAAAACACTAGAGCTACCATGCAATATTTGTTTTGTAATAAATTCAATTACCGGTTGATAATTCTAAAATAAAAATAATAATAAATTAATTAATTTCACGTGAGTCACAGCCATGATTACATGGTTGCAAGATATATATATATATTTTACCAGCAGGGGGAGGTGTTGATCCGCCTTCTCTTCGTAGCTGGTGAACGCTATTTTCCTGTCGCCCCTTTTAGTAACTGGTCAAATTGAAGATGGGCTGATTACATTCGTGCAATGTTCTCTATGATGGCAATAAACTGCATTCTCATCCTAAACAAGACGGATTGCCGGACAGACTGAGAGGAGACCCAATCTCCAGTCAGTCACTTGTTGGTTAGTGTGAACAAAGTTGTACTCTGTGCAGTGACTGAAAGTCTGGGTGGCCTCCTCATGTTATAACATTTTAACATGCACTTTTAATATTTATTAAAACTGATCATTTGAATTTTTCAAGTGATTAATGTTCCCTGTGGGTAGTCAAGTGTATTTAACAACCTGCCATCACACTAGAAATATGCTGTTTCAGAATGTTTAGTTTCATGTTAACCGTTTGGATTCCCAAGTCTTGTATCAACTAAGTTCATAACGTCAAACATATGGTATGTTTGATTCACATTGAACTTGAAATCAATAAACGCTCAACTCTACTATTGCCCAAGTCCTCCTCCTGGACATTTTAGCCAACATCTGGTGTGTACAGATTTATAATTATACAATACATGATGCATTACAGCTTATAGTTCAGATGAGGAGGAAACTTGTTGAGGCATAGCATTGTGTTTCTTGAATCATTTTGTTCACCTGCCAAAGTGTCAACAGCCTCAGCCTCCTTTGACTGTTTGTGTCTGTTTAGGTAACATGCATTAGCTTGTAAAATTGTGGTTTCACCAAATGTTGCAAAATAGATTTTGGCTGGGGATAAACAATCAACCGGTGGAGGTTTTGCACTCTTTGTTTCTTAAAGACTAGCCTGTTCATATTTCTCGTCTTCTTTCCACTTGCAGGGAACACACTGAAGAAAACGGTCAAATGCGGCTGTGCAAACATGTTCGGCCATGCTTTTTGACCTCGACGGTTTCAAAAGGCATGAAGCTGGTTCCACACTGTCATTTTTCATGTACAAAAAACATCAACATATAGCCTAACCCTATAACCCAGTTTCATCTATTTCATATTTTTGATTTATTCATAACAGCCCTTCAATATTTGCACTGTGAGTTGCACCGAAAACACCCAATGCTGCAGTGGTTCAGTAGGTCCCTCGTTCATCACAGAGGCATTTTTGAGTGGCAGCATACCTTCCCCACCTTTGATGATTACAGTAGACCAGAAAACACTTAGTTATTGCCACTGTTCATAACCACAATCCCTGTTGGTTGGTCTATTGTTGATTAATGCATTATGTGTCTTAATGTGGCAATTGTTATTTCATTAACCAGTTTATTGTATGTGTTTATATTCATATGTAGTTGTTTAAAAATAACCTTTAACCAATATGTGCATTGCCCAGTGCGTTAAGCAGAATGTCAAATTTTATTCCATGAGAGACACAATGTGCAGAGTTATTATTGCGCATTGTGTTTTAAGTTCCATTTGCAGAACATTTTAAAGTTATTATCTCCTCACTGACTCTTCCACGTTGTCAGTGAATCACATAAGTGCTTAGGATGGCTTTCTCTTTGTGTTTTCACAGGTGAATCATGGTATGTTGTTTTTGCAATGTTATAGCCCACAGCTACAAATGTTCAAGCGTTCAGGTGAGGTTCTGAATGTAGGGAACAATAACAAAAATGCACGCCTATGGTTCATGGAATATACAAAAGTATTGCCAAGAAATCAACCTCTTTTATATGGCTCTTTTGGGGTTGGATCCTCTTCAATATTTTAGAATGCTCCGTTAAAAATGGCTGTTTTATGGAGTCATTCAAAGCCTTATTTTATTCAAAGGCTGCTCTTTTGACATAATGTTTCTGATGTGTCTAGATGTCTGCCCCCTCCCTGCTCCGAAAAGGGAGTGAGTCTCAAAGAGGGCTGGCCTGGCTTCATTTACTGCTCCCCAGAATGGTTCACGTCTGAGCCAGTCTCCCGAGATACAGGCAAAAGTTTGGTCAACACACTTCTGCAGTTGGTTGCCACATGATACCTGCCTGACCTCCATTTCCCAACATCAGGACCCTCATGGATACATAGGAGACACATCTACATTTTACCTCAATGAAAAGCTTGTCACTGTTTGAGTAGACGAGCTGACCACATTGACAACTCAGCATTATTGTAAGTTACGCATTCTTCATTCTAAGTCCCTGAAAGCCAAGCCTGTTTGAGCTTGTTGTGGGATTCTAGAGGCTTGCATCTCTATGAGTGAATTTCTGTCTCTTTCTGTCTCCTCTATGAAGAGTCATGGTCCCCTCTCTGCACTGGCTATTGCTCCTCTGGGGACTTCAGAGAGTACTTATGGCACAACAGTTTGAAGAAGACTATGAAGAAGAAGTGTTGACAAGAAAGAAGAGCAATGGAGTAACCCATGGATCTAACTCAGTAGGCCTGAATGGCAAAAGTAAGTTTCTTCATCTTAATTCCTGTCATAGAAGAGGGATGAAGTTGAGGCTTACTACAGGTGTCACACGGCTGGTTATTTGTCAGTAAACTGGAACATGAGCCTCAACAAGGACATAGCTGGAGGATACAGGCTGTGTGGATTGATCATATCTCCCAGCGATCCATCTGCTGTGTGACTGTTGCATGCTCGCTTATCCAAATGTTTTTTTATACTCAGAATTCACTTTCCCCAGGCACATTCTCTCACTGACATATTTTTTCCTAAGATTAATGTAAAGTTTCCTCAGCCCATATTCGATCTGTGACCTCTTTCTGTTGTTGAAGGGTGCCTCTGTGAGTTCATGTGCTTCCGCTCTTCTATAAAACTGTATGTCGCTTCCATGAACTTATCTTAGTTTTCCATTTCAAAGCATTGGTTGATAAATGTTTGATAAATCACATATAGGCACCACACACTCACCAGAGATAAAAATGTCGCACTGGCTCTCGCAATTCACTTAGCTGTGATGAGTTAGTGCTTCATGTTTGACCAGTTATGTGTGTAATAAATGTAAATCTTGGCTGCAGGAAAAACAGATCAACAGCATATTATGTGTTATAATGCACGGCAAAAAAAAGAGGTAAAAATTGCTTGCTTATCATAATTTGAGAACATTCTGATTGTCTTAAAACAAGATTTGCCAATGGGACAAGCCATTTGTTCTTATTTGAATAATTCTGGCTTTATTTTTTCATTCCAAGGAAGACATTTCTAGTATCTTTTTAAAACAATATCATTTTGCTGGTCCCATTGGCCATACTTGTTTTGAAGCAGTCAAAATGTGCTCAAATTAAGCCACATTCAGCAAAAATGTAGCTTTCTCATCACTTTTTTTGCAGTGCGTGAATGAAAACAAAGTGTGAAATCGCTTGGTTCCGAACATTTGTCTAAAATAATTCATATTCTCATCAGCAGTCAATAATGAAGATTGCCGTTTGGAGATAGCCTTCCTGATCGACAGCTCTGAGAGTGCCAAAGACAACCATGCCCAGGAGAAGCGCTTCGCCACAGACGTGATGGACCGGCTGCAGCGGGTGAAGCTGCAGACGGGTCGAGGCCTCATCTCCCGCGCCGCTTTACTCCAATACAGCAGTCACGTGATCATAGAGCAAACCTTCAAACAGTGGAGAGGCGTGGAGGACTTCAAAGCTCGGATTGCTCCCATCGTCTACATCGGACACGGCACTTACACCACGTACGCCATCACGAACCTCACCCAAATTTACCTGGAGGAATCAGAACCCAGCAGCATCAAAGTGGCCATCCTACTCTTCGACGGCATCTCGCATCCCAGAAACCCAGACATAAGAATGGCGGTGGATGATGCCAAGAATCAGGGCGTCCGATTCTTTACCATCGGGATCACTCCTGAGGCCAATGAGCTCGCAAACATCCAACAGTTGAGGTCCATAGCGAGCAGGCCGGACACGCGCTACCTCCACAACCTGCAGGACCGAGGCATCGTGGACAAAGTCATCAAGGAAATCGTGAGTGATTTTAAGTCTTTATACTAAACCTGGGAAATCAAGAAGCTAATATACATAGTTATATTTATATGACTTGGCAAACCCATTCATCTTAGAGGTTTTCTTTGGTTGCATTCATGATGCTATTGTTCATCGAGTGATACCCAAGGCCACTTTTGTAGTCTATGAAGGCATTCACACCACACTGAAATGCCTCAAAAATTGGAAAGATTTAATCTGTCTCAAAAGCCTTTGAGGCACAAAGAAATGGCTGAAGTCAATGTGAGGCTGAGGCCCAGTAGTTTTGGCCTCTGAAAACTCATTTACTCACTGATTATGAGTGGGAACAATCTCTGCCTAAGTCTCAGCCTACATTTTCCATAAGTAAGTAAGTAAGTAATCTTTTATTTATGTACTGCCTTTTCACTGCAGATCTGAATCTCAAAGCGGTTTACAATTGTTAATTTTGGGCATTTGTCTCTCACTACACACAGAGATGGGAGCGGGGTCGCCAGTACAGGAGGCGCATGCTAGAACTATTGGACATATTTTAAACCTACACAGACACGGGGAGAACATGCAAACTCCACTCAGAAAGGCCCTGGTCCAACCGGGATTCGAACCCAGGACCTTCTTGCTGAGAGGCGAGAGTGCTATCCACTCAGCCACCGTGCCGCCCATAAGGTCCATAAGGAGGGTATAGCTGGTGTCTTGGGGTCTATGATGCAGAATGACCACCAATAAACCAATGGTTTTAACAATTCCCATTTTATAGATGAGGCATATAGCAAAAAAATCCAGAAAGAACCCATTTAAATTCCCTTTATGGCAATTTTTAAACATAATGTGCGTGAGTTTGGAGCTCCAACTGGTCCATGTTCATCCAAGAAGAGCATGTGAAATCCAGTTCAGGAACATTGGTATAGTACAGGTTTTTAATGTAGCATCAGGAGAAATGATGCCATCTTATCTTTCAACTTTTTAAGGCTATTCAATTAGGTCTTTCTCTGTGGGGCCTTCGTCACCACCCTCTGCTGTCAAATACCGCTCAGCTCCACCTGCTGTCTGATACCATAGTAACATATTATAATGATACAAGATATAGCCAGAATCTGAATCATGTTCCACCTCAAATGGAAGAAAGTTCACCCTTGCGTTTAATTATTTATTCTATTCGGCATCGTTATGTAAACCACTGATGCATTTCCAGTTCGTTAATTACAACATGCGCAGAACAGGAACTTCCTGAAGTCACCAGCCGGCATGTTACCAAAACATGTGCTGTACATTATTTCACTTTGTGGGAAAAAGTTGGAGCAGGAACCAGGCGAGGGCATATAAGCACGCCACATCATTCAGGAAAAACCACTTCAAACCAATACTCGCTTTTGGTTCAGGTGCTGCACGTCAAAAAACCAACAAATGAAATGTTGAAGAGAGAGGGCTGGCATCGGGAGCAGCAGGAGATAGTCAACTCTGTGCTGTGGTGGTGTGGTCTGCAATATTGACTATTATCTAAGAAGAAGAATGTTGAAATAAATGTTGATTTTGAGTCAAATTGTCCGAGTCTGGATACTTGGGCTGTTACATGTGGCGCTATTAGTTGCAACTAATCGATTATTGAAATAGTTTAGATTTTGAACAAATTTGAACCTTGCATAGAGTTAAATATGCGGACTTTTTTATGGCCCTAAATTGCAATAGTTGTTATCTCGGAAGACTTTACTAAGTTGCTGATTTGCCAACACAGATCAGAGAATTAACATAGTTCATACACAGGAAATGACACGACGTTGTAAAGATGGCGCCGTGGCAAGAGCTCTCTGGTGCACACTGGGGTAGTCTTGCACAGTTTTTCCAATATGGTTTTACTGCAAATGGCAAATAAATGAATCTTAATCTGAATCATAAGGAGAAAATGACCGATGTCCATAAATATCGTTGAATGTCGAGGGTCGTGGGTCATCGCCGCTGTCCTTAGACCCTCGTGCGTCAGCAAGAATGAACGCTAAAAACCCAGAGGGATTTTTTCACCTTTTTTTTATCGTAAATTTTACAACCCAATGTGTAAAAACTCATCAATGAATGCATTTATTATTAAAATGATCGTTAATTGCTGAACCAATGTAGAATACTAAAAAAAAAGAAAAAAAAAGAAAAAAAAAAAGGTGGCTGAGTGGATAGCAGTCTCGCTTCTCAGCAAGAAGCTCCTGGGTGGAGTTTGCATGTTCTTCCTGTGTCTGCGTAGGTTTCCTCCGGGTGCTCCGGTTTCCCCTACCACTAAAAACATGCACAATAGGTCTGAATGTAAATGAGAGAGTGAATGGATGGTGTTGGAGCTGATGGCCCAGTGTGTTCTGGACTCGCTTCTGTCATCACCGTGTGTGGAATGATTGGAACAATATCTGACTCTGAACATTGTAAAGAGCTTTGGGTCTGTACCTTGGTCTGTAAAATGTAAATAAACAACACTTACTTACTTACAAAAGTTGAAAAAGGACAAAACTAGAGCATCAGATTTCTGTGTATCTTTGTCATGTATTTTTGCCATGTTTCTGTCTCGCCACTGCTTACATGATGCTTGAACCACAACCCAAGCGTTTCCAAGCGTTGTATGCAGGCTTGTGAAATATAATTTGAATCTATTTATCAGGCAACGCAGTGTGTCCTTGTTTCTACCTTCTCTCTGGATTTGAATGATGCTTTGATGTGGATGTGGAGACAGCATCTGTATGTCATAAGTATGTTCCAGCTCTGTCCTGGCTCAGAGGCAGTCTTTTATCCTCAGCGTGCCTTCTTTTCAAACACATTCCCTCAAAACACATCTCTCGCTGCTACCGAGAGATGCTGTTACCGCCACCGCTGCTGCTGCTGCTGCTATTCCTGAACAATGCATGTGGTTCACGTTGAGTCTCCGGTCCGACCCCTCGTATAGAAACCGTGGTCATCTTTCATGTGTTGAGAAACCCGAGGCGTAAAATCCAGCGCTATGAAAAGATGTGAGCGTCGGTAAGAGGAGTGAGTCAAACCTCGCACGCACAAGCAGGTGGACAGGGTGGAAGGCCATTTGACAAAAACCTTCCCTGCGAGTGGAGAGACAGTGATGGGGAGAGAGGTGGGTAGGATTTCACTGGAATCCAATGAAAGGATGTGGTATTTAAGACAGAGTGAATGTGTCGAGGGAAAGATGTGGACAGTATAGGAACATGCAAGACTATTCAAGACCAGGACTTCGATCTGAAGCTTTACTGGTGTTACGTGAAAAGTAGGGCTGGGAACCTCAGGGTACCTCACGATACGATACGGCACGCGATACTAAGCTCACGATAACGATTATATCACGATGACGATTATCAATACATTGGTCAGAAATATACTGTTATAGAAATCTTTTAGTAAAGCAATCTGAATAAACACGAAATAGTTATAAGTGTAAGTTATTAACTAACTCTCAACTCTGGATTCAAACACAGCTCATGGTCTGTTGGCAGCAGCTGAGAGATGGAGATGTGTTTCTTTAGCAATATCTGTGTCTAAGAACAATGTGTTCAGGTCAAAGCAGATTATTACGAGATAAGTAATGTAGCCATATATTAAGTATTGATACTTAAAGTCGATACTTGGCAAAAGCATATCGATAATCGATCGCGTGAGAAAGTATCACGATACATCACCATATCGATATATCGTCACACTCCTAGTGAAAAGTAGGGGTGGGAATCAGCAGAAATGTGACGATTCAATAGTATTGCAATATTCATATTTATATTTATATTGCGATACCACAAGTACTGCAATTGGATTCTGTGATATATTGCAATCTAATATTATTGTGGATCCGTGATGTCCCTCGCATTATTCTAAGGCATGAGACAGATACGACTAAACTCAAATGTTACATTTATTACGGTCTGCTCTTTAACTGAAGTTCAAAAACGCGTTGTCTGCAACAGATTGTGTTTGTTTGATTTATTTAAGGATGATGTGCGTTTGCATTCAAAAGATGGCTGCACCAGATTTAGCACCGTGCTTCTTCCACCTGTTGTCCTTGTCAATACAATCAACTTGCATAATAATATACAGTTCAAATTAAAAATGCAGGTTACTCAAGTTACTAAGATACATTTTGACCCTTGACGCCATTATCAAGGGTCAAAATGAATGAACGAATGCAAAGCACAGCAACAAGCGCCACCTTGTGGATGTAATACACAAACGTGGATCACCAGAGTAAACCCATGGTGAAAACACTTTATCGGTTCAGTGCGTGCAAACTATATCACGATACCGAATCGCTATTTTCACCCCCCACTAGCACTGACAAAATGTTTTAAAGCTGGCATACCTCGCTTTTTTTGGTCATGAATAATACAAGTGGTTTGCCCTAAATGAAAAGTCGAGTAAAAGTTACACTTCTATCACAAGAACAAATCTGATCGCAACACGCTGTCTCCATCTCTTTAGAAAACAAGTTAACTTCTGCATACTTGTAAGAAAGAGTCCTGTGAGTCACTGTATGATTGGGTTTTAAGTACTAGGGCGTAAATGTGTTAAAGCTTACAATAAAGTTTTATATGTGATCTTTGATTTTTTTTTATTTGTACAACGGTGTGAGCCAAATGAGGAAGTTTGGTTCTGACGGCCACACGCTGAGTTTAGTAATGAACCCTATGGATATTTTTTGTATGGGGCTTTTACATTTCCATATGGATCTAATGTGACGGCATGGTTTCCTGTCTCTTTGTTTTGCAGACAACGCTGGCAGATGAAGGGGTAAGCCTCAACAGTGGAGCCTTTCACATACAGTAATGGTTTGTCGTCTGTGTGTCCCATCTCACCACTGCGTCTCTGTGTCCAGTGTCCGCTAGCCCTCAGTACGTGTGCGTGTGAGAAGGGTGAGAAAGGTCCGAGCGGCTCTCCTGTAAGTACTTCTCAACACCACTGTTTTCTTCCTCGAGACAATTACTCCCGAACCGACTCAATTTGAAGAGCCGCTGACAGCTCCACAATTCATCTGTAACAAGCTACAAAATTGCAGGGTTTAAGAGAGTTTTGTAAATAGTGTGGCTTTTTTAAAGAGTTGTCCGTCTCAGCAACAGTGAGAGAAAGAAGAATTAGGGATACGCAGGAGTATGAATTCTTTGCATTCCTATACACTTAATTGAGAACATGCCTAAACAGACATTAACACGAAGAAATAAGTAGATTCTTGTTGGTTTGAAGTATTTGCCTGCTTTGAGATTTGCTGAGGACACAAAGCAGCACACGCCTTGCACAACTCTATTCGTGTTGTGACGTCGTCTGTCTTATTATTAACAAGGTCAGCCGCAATTAGACTCCGCGGTTATGCTTTGATGTGCATTCACAGGAAAGAGAACAAAAGCTGGCTCAAATCACAGACACCAGTTAGAGTTGGCGGAGCTAACAGACAGAGATGCTTGCATGATAAGAAGACGCAATCACGAACATTACCACAGTCAGACAGAGCCCCAGTCCACACACGTTCACCCCTGACTCATGGCGACGTACAGGCAGCTGCTTTCATCCATGATGCAATTCAAACATATGGGTTTTCTCCTTGTTTTCACTTCAGGGAAAGAAGGGTCGTCCTGGCGAGGATGGAAGCCCCGGCCCTAAAGGACTAAAGGTACCTCACTTTAGCTTTTAAAAATCTATACCCATATGATCTCCTTGCTCTTATTTGGTCTTTGCTTAGCTGGCACATGCACTTAATGAGTGTCTTCCCTACAGGGTGAGAGTGGACTCAGCGGTCTTCCAGGTCGAGACGGAGCAGAGGTGAGCTGGTGATGGGAAGTTAATTGCTTTGTGTGAGGTAAATTGCTATTGTTGCTCTATATGAGCGTTAAGAGGATAAGCAGTCTCTTTATGTCGTCTGTGTGACAATGTTTTGGTTCTTTGCTCTCCACGCCTAACTGTGTTTTGTGTGCTCAGGGGAAACCAGGATACAAAGGCGAGAGGGTACGTATGGATTAAATGCCTCTTCAGCTCCTTTTGGAAAAATCACTTATTTTTATGGCTGGATCCTGTAAGTTATGAAACCATTTTCGATCTGCTTTTGGTCAAGTGTGAATCCCAATGCTCCCATGGGATAAGGCAGAGTTAGACTATTGTATGTTATTGTGAACAACATAGATTCTTTACTCTGTCATTATGGATTAAGGAAATAACATGTGTCATAGTGTGTGTTTTCTCTTTCAGGGGGAACGCGGAGAATGTGGTGTACCTGGAATTAAAGGAGACAAAGTTTGTTGATATTTTGTCATTATCATGTCAGCAGCTAAACGACTGCTTTAAGTGGGAATTAAATATCCAATGTCATGTGTTTATTATGTTATCATGTTCTCTTTTAGGGCCCTGAGGGGACACTTGGGCCAAGAGGAAACCGTGGTCTTCAGGTCAGATTAATTGAATAAAACACACAGACAAAGCTTAGAAGGTCCCTTTAATAACACAAAAGTCTAAAGAAGCATTGGCCATAGACTTCCTGCTTGGCCATCACGTCTCTCCTCTGATGAATTAGTACTAGCTTCTTTAAACTTTTGTCATACTATAAGAACCTTCTAAGCTGTACGCAGACAATTTAAGAGACACATTAGTTCACGACAATTTTTGATTTTTACATCTGCCTAGGGTGTGTCTGGTCCTCCTGGTGACGCTGGCCCTGAAGGTCCAATGGGCAAAAAAGTAGGTTGAACTGGAAATGGTGAATTTTTCTTGAGGTGTGTTGTATATGTTGATGAAAATGGGTCAAAAAGCCACACAAAAAAGCAATGTGGCACTCCTCTGTTAAGGTTTTATGTGAGGCAAAACCATTTGGATCAAAGTCTGGCTCTAACTGTCCACATGTGATCAAAGGTGACCCACAGTCACAAAAGCAGCTGCGTACCTGTCCAGACTGGATTCAATACATAAAACTCCTTTTTTTTCAACCGTATTCTGTCTGGTTTAACTTAAGTCCTTTCATGACCATATCAAAAGCCCCAAGTCAGTGAGTTCATCAGGACAAGAGGAAAAAGAGAGACTGTGAGAGCGAGCGTGGGCCAAATGAAAATGATCATGTGCATTTGAAAAGACATATCAAACTTTTCTTCTTAACAGATTCAGCTGAGGTCAAGGCCTTTAAATTAAATCGCTCCATCACTAGTTAAAATAAGGAGATGATCAGAAACAGGGCCAGACATACAGTACATGCAAAGACATCCTGAGTTATGAGCTATCAGCCCTGGAACGTTGGTAGCCCTGTAAGGAGCTCATCTGTTATTACCTTGTCAACCTATTTGTCCCATCCTATTTTTTAAACCCCTCTCACACGTTATAGCTGCCAATTTGGCCCTGTGCCACACTCCCCGCGACCTCTGGCTCCTTAATTATTTTGGAAGAATGTTCCTACTGATTGTCTAGCTGTCATCCTACATCACCTGAACAGCAGACTAAAGTCTAGCATTAAACACTGTCCCGACTTGCTGGAAAGGGCAGAGAGAAAAAAGAATAGCCGTGTGCTATCGCTAACGTCTCCACACCCACTTCACGGCTTGAGTGTGCCCTCCTGCTGCACAGCCTGGATGTGATTTACTGCTGCCGGCTCTGCACAGATAAAGGCTACACTTCAGGAACACCATCTGAAACATACTTATAAACTTACACTGCTAAAAAGACCTCTTTGACTGCAAAACAAGGGAAAATTACAAACGCTAGCAAGCAGTTAATAATGTATTCATTAACTGGCTTGTCATAGACCTTTATGGTGAAATCCAGTCCAAAATGTCATATCCATTACGCTCACAGAAAAGCAATTCTGCACGTCACTGCTAAACATGGATGTTAATTATAGACATTGAACGTTGGCTTTCTCTTTTACAAGCTGTATTACACATAGAAAATAAATCAGCATCAGTCTGTCATTGCTTTAACCTTTTTCTCAGGTATTTGCATATTGTCCTCAGATTGTGCCAAACAAACCTCTGTGTGTGGCTGCGCGGGCATCTACCTGCTCTGCTCGTGCTGTTTATGTGCTTCCTCTGTGTTTATAGGGGGAACGGGGACTTCCTGGGCCACCTGGAATTCAAGGTGAAACAGGGATCGGCCTTCAGGGACCTAAGGTGAAGCTGCCATCTCATTTCACTGGAAAAGTAAATGACCAGGTTGTATCACCACTGTCTCACTTCTTCCTGTTTTTAGGGGGACATCGGTTTCCAGGGGCAACTGGGGCCCCCGGGTCCACCAGGGTTGGGGGAGCCTGGATCACCGGTAGACACATAAATCTTGTGAAGGATTAATTATTCATAAATATTAACAATGTTTGTTTTCTTTATTTATTAAGGGGCCTCAAGGGCCACAGGGGGTTCAAGGAGAGAGGGGCCCTTCAGGAGAAGGTCTCCCCGGACCCAAAGTGAGTTATTTCTTCCTCTATAATGAAGGTTCAGTGCATTGATTTGTTGTGAGGAGTGGTGGAAAGCCTAAAGGCTGCTGAATGTGATCCGTATGTAAAGACACACCTTAGCATCTCCTCAGGGGCCCGCACAGGCCTCGCTGGGCCCCAGGTTTCTGATGAAGCGTGCACAGTTCCATGAGGTGATAACAGTTCACATTCATTTCCATGCAGCGCTGTAGTATGGCCCTCATTACTGTCAGACACGTGTCTGCGTCATTGATTGTTGTAGCAGAGGACGTCACATGAAGAGAGCATTAGAGGCAGAGCCTCCGTGTCGTTTCAGACGGACACATCATGTCACATACAAGGTCAAAGGAGAAAACATTTCCCTTCAAGCGACAGATTTGTTCCTTCTCCTTCAGATTTACCCATCACCACTCCAGCTCCAATACCAACTGCATGTTAGCCTCAAAGGCTGTAGCACTTGGGAAATACCATTGAAACTGCAGCAGTTATGACATTGGATCAGAGCCAATCAGCAGTTACCTTAGTTTGACATCTTTCAGGAAAACAAAACCCTTATTTTTTGGCTTCTGAACAATGCTTTGTTTTGGACACATACATAAAGAAGGGAAATGATACCTGCTATGATTAATTCAAGTCTAAACAAATAGAGGTCTGCAGATCCCACATCATTTTTTGCCTTTGGCCTAAACGCTGCACTCTTTCCTGCAGCGTGTGGCCGTGCAGATGGCGTTCGTTCTTTCTCATGACATGCCTCAACAAGATCCAGATTCTCCAGAGCTCAGCAGCAATATCACCATTTTCCATATCATTAGCACTTGGGCTTGTGTGCCAAACAGAGAATCACACAGATATAATCAGGGTTATACTTTTTTACACTGCGTCAGAATGCAGTGTTAATTGTGTTTTTAGATTGTGGATGCAGCTGATTTTTTTTGTTTGTCTTAGAATGACTTTGCAAAGGAGGAAATGTGTACTTCCCAGTCGTATATGGGACTCTTTTTATTGTGCTAAGTGTCATATTGGATTACAGCTATAATCCGTCTCTGTATTCTAGCGCTTTCTCTTTAAAAATGCTCCCTGCGCCCCCTCGAGTGTGGCCTTAAGGCATGTAAAACACTGTTAAACCACCACACAAAAACGAATGCTCGACTGTGACTCGCTTCCACTGCTCCTACATAAACTTTGCACATTTGCCTTCACCTCAGGCTACTATCTTTCCTACACTCGGTTCGTTTTTACAGACATTTTTATCAGCCCAGTAACTTTCTTTGTCTATTACGTGTGTCTGATTTGTGTTTGAGATACCGCAGCGAAGGCTTGTAAACGTTTTATTGAACAGGCTTCAGGCGCTGACAGGACCTTCAGGGAAATGTTGTGAAAAGGATACTGTAGTGAAAGCAACTTATCATAGATTGGAATTATTCAAAGACATCCTGAGGATTTGATTTAGCAAAAGATTAGTGACATGATTGAGCTCTTAAATAAATCCTTTCCATTTTTTATTTGAGCTGAATCTCCATTTTCATTACAGTAGACAGTAGAGGCAGTAGATAGCTGGAGCTGTACAGAAGCAGCTTCACAAAGCACTCTCGCTTCTCAGCAAGAAGCTCCTGGGTTCAAATCCCGGTCGGAATAGGGCCTTTCTGAGTGGAGTTTGCATGTTCTCCCTGTGTCTGCGTAGGTTTCCTCCAGGTGCTCCGGTTATCCCTACCACTAAAAACATGCACAATAGGTCTGAATGTAAATGAGAGAGTGAATGGATGGTGTTGGAGCTGATGGTCCAGTGTGTTCTGGACTCGCTTCTGTCATCACCGTGTGTGGAAGGATTGGAACAATATCTGACTCTGAACATTGGAAAGTGCTTTGGGTCTGACCTTGGTCTGTAAAATGCACTATATAAATAAACATTACTTACTTACAAACAGTTTGCAGCGTGTCCTAGAAGTGCTTTGGGGTTGTTTCTGTGGTTACAAGCAAAAGAAAAAAAAGGATTCATTTGGATCCAAGCTAAATGTCATTGCTGCAGATTTATTGCACCTTATATAAGATGTGTAAAAAGAAGACTGATCTACATTATAACTACAAACGGAAACAAGTCTTTCAAAGAGCGCCATCATAAGACCAGGGAGAAGCTGCTTTGACAGTTTGTACACAGTTTGTAAATATTTAAATGTATTGAATTGTGTCCTCAGGGAGAACGAGGCTTTGAGGGGCCTCGGGGGCCCAGAGGACAACAGGGCCAAGGAATCAAAGGTGACAAGGTACAGTTGTAGATACATTTCTGTCTCAATACTTCCTCAAAGCCACAGCTCAGGTCCAGGGAGGCGCACAGAGGCTGATGGAGTGACTTGTGAACACATTCAGCTTGTGTCTTTATGGGGTTAGAATAAAAAATGTGTTGGATTATGAACTGTGTTTGATCGTTGTAGAAGTTATCACAGTAACAAGTTCATTATGTATATTCTTTACTCCAGATGTTTATTACCCTGTTTAATGTTCATCGATGGAAACTAAACCGCTTAACTATCACTCTATTCTGAATCTAATGTTTTTTAGGGGGATTTTGGACCCCCAGGGCTTCCGGGGCCCATTGGCCTCACAGGGGCAGGAATCCAGGGAGAGAAGGTGAAATGTCATCTGTAATTAATGCACGTCTCATGGTGTTATAATTATCTTGCTTCCCCGGTTTCATTTGTTATTTTTGGCTTTAATTTGACTTTAATTGCAGTCGGTGTCATTTCTTTCCTCTGTGTGTTTTAGGGTGTGGAGGGTCCGCGGGGGCCACCCGGGACAAGGGGCCTTCCAGGGGAGGGCTTACCTGGGGCCAAGGTGTGTGCACTCATCAGCCTCTTACAGTATGCTCCTGTGAACATGTGCTGAAGTCAGTGTTTGATGCAGGGAGATCAAGGATTGCCCGGGGAGACGGGAGGCCCAGGAGAGAGAGGGGCTGGAGATCCTGGAGCTAAGGTGGGTTCAAAGTTTTACTGTTTTTGATAAATTAAATATATGTTTTCATGCCTTGTGTTCAGGGAGAACCAGGAGCACCAGGAATCTCAGGAGTGCCTGGCCTGCCAGGGGAGGACGGAGCACCTGGACAGAAGGTTTCATGATGACATTACTATAACTGCTCATTTCATGACTTAGTATTACCATAACGTGTGTTTCAGGGTGAACTTGGAGCTCCCGGTCTCAGAGGGCTTGAAGGGGCACCTGGACTTGGTACTCAAGGAGAAAAGGTACTTCAGCACATCAATTTAAACCCATGACACAATGATCTGAGATTTCCATTTTTCTTGTAAGGGAGACCAAGGCCAAAGAGGAATCAGAGGCTTGACCGGTCCACCTGGCATAGCAGGGCCTTCAGGACCAAAGGTGAGGACTGACCAAAGATTTGTTTTCTTTAGTCAATCATTGACTGTGATGTCATGATGTCCTCATCAGGGAGAGCCGGGGTCTCAGGGGCGAGTGGGGTTCCCTGGTCCACCTGGACGCTTTGTTTCTGGACCTAAGGTAACAAATATCTTTAAATAAACATCATTTTCGAATGTTACACTACAAGTGTGTTTTGAACTATGCATTACTATTAGGGTGACCCAGGCCCAAGTGGTCCACCTGGTCCAGTTGGGGAGACGGGCTATGGACTTCCTGGCCCAAAGGTAAATATAGATGATGCTTTTTATCAGGATGTCATTTTATCCATAGTTACATCTGGCAGCATTTTCTATCAAACACAGTTTTCAATCTTAGAAGCAATAATGAAAACAGGATGTTGTGAGCTAAACGTCCATCTCCACATGACGTCTTCACTGGTCGTGCAGATAGACTGCTCTGGTTAAAGGCCACATTCTGTTTGGTACATGTTGCATTAGTGGGTCGTGATGTATTACACTGTAACATATGAGCATATTATTTTACTTCCACATTCTTCTTGCTCGTATGAAGCTGTGTGTAAATCAGGTCTGTGCCATTGTTTGGGCTCAGGCCTGATTTACTGGACTGCCTCTTCTTCAAAGGGGGACCGTGGAGATTCAGGATCTGGGGGTGCACCTGGTCCTAAAGGAGACGGCTATCCCGGCCCTGTGGTAAGACTCATTCTGAACTCTGACCCCATCACTTACAACTGCACTCTACAGACTCATGTTACACTTCACGTCTACAGCTGTTTTATTCTCATCATTCACATGTTATTCATTTCAAGAAAAGGGTGGGATGATGATATCTTAATGTATATAATATATATTTATATAATACATTTAACCTTCAGGGGCCTCCTGGTTTACCTGGACTTCCAGGAGAACCTGGACAAGAAGGCCTTGGCATCCCTGGACCAAAGGTAGAATGCTTTTATCCTCTTTACTCACTCAGACATGTAAAGACAGCAAACAGATTGAGACATTCCTTATTATTAAATTGATTTATTATGTATACATTCCCCGAGAACTCTTAAGAACTCAATCTGCAGTGTTAGTGTGCGCTTCTCTAAATGAACCACGAGTGACAATAGACATGCTGAAACTATTGAAACGTCTTTATAGAGCATAACAACAAAGTACATTCCACCATCCCACATGAAAACATTCTGAGAACCACAAACAAAACAACTCAAGAGTCACATCATGTGATGGTGTTACTCTGAGAGACTAATGATTAAGATATTTGTACATAAGTTTGGTTTTGACAAGTCTTTTCTGTGAGAAGTGCTTCTTTAAGTTAAACAAAAGAAACATGCAGATGTTCATGGATGGTGAGTCTGTCTGTGTAAATGTGTTGTATCAACTATATGCTGCGTTATTTTCAGGGGGATGTTGGCTTCCGTGGGCAGCCTGGTTTACCCGGACCCCCGGGCGAAGGCCTCCAAGGACCTCCAGTGAGTATTCCTTTTCAGACTACAAATGATCTGCAGGGAAACCAAAAATTAGTTTTTGCGACTCTGCCTTCACTCATATTTGTATTCAGTGTTTGCTGCACATGACAAGGACACCATAATAATGTGTTTACCAATGCGTAAATCCTTCTGTAATTTTATTTGACATCGAGCCAGATGGGCCAGATTGAGTCATGTCCTCAGAAGAATTAGCTGCTTCAGAAAGCGGTAAATTAAAAAGGCTCTGCTTTCTCTGTTGTGTGAAGCGCATTACTGCAGGGTCTCATTCAGAGCAGACTACTTTAGTTCAGGCTGTTTATGATGATCCACCTCACTCAGTGTGAACCTCTGTGGACATATGTGTGATGAGGACCTCTCTGCTGTAACACTGCACCCTTCTGTTCCCCTCATCACACTCTTCACCCATGGGAGGCTGCTGTGCCTCTGCAGGTCTGAGCTGCAGGCACAAGGCACTGTTTAATTAGGCATTCAACCAACTTGTCAAATATATAGGGATCTCACATTTATGATTGGATCCATGTAGTTTAGGGTGACTCTCAGCATTTGAATGTTCAACAAATAGGTTCTTGATGTAACCTCTAAATGTGTTTTAGGGGAACACTGGCCGGCCTGGACCACCTGGTCCAACTGGACCTCCAGGATTAGGCGTTCAAGGGCCAAAGGTATATTTCCTCCTTTATTTTCCCACTTCAGCCTTTTGGCTTGAATCATTGAGATATTTGTCTGTTGTGTTCAGGGGGAGCTGGGGTCACAGGGGGTGACGGGGCCGAGAGGACTGCCTGGAGATGGCTTTCCAGGAGCTAAAGTTTGTCCCATGACTTTTATTTGAGTTCATGTGTTTCAAATACAATTAATGTACGAGTGTGTCTTAGGGCGACAGAGGCTCAACGGGCGAGAGGGGGCAGAAGGGATTCAAAGGAGATTTAGGAGACCCAGGAACTCCAGGACTTTCTGTAAGATCATTAAACTCATGACAGATGAAGGTGTTGTACATGCTGGACTTACTACTGCTGGACCATGAGTTACTTTGTTTATGTTAAGGTCTTATTTGAACATTGTTTTAGGGCCGGCAGGGGATCAAAGGTGAAGCAGGCCTCACTGTGAGTAATCTCATACATTTGCTCTTCATTCTTTTCATCTTCATTGACTTCACTCTGTTTCTTTCTCTGCTACAGAGAGAGGACATCATTCGGATGATCAAAGAGATCTGTGGTAACATATCTTCTTATGACTGTTATTTTTACTTCATTTTCTGTATTGATTTAACTTTGCCTGCTGTGTTATCAGAGAGGATGTACATTTAAGATGCTGTCGGGTTTAATCTGTAAATCAGCAGATCACATTGCAAAGCTCAGACCTTATTAGAAAGCCCGGATATCTCCTCATATGTCGATGTGGTGTCCTTTCAGGCTGTGGAGTCAAATGCAAGGAACGACCTATGGAGCTGGTGTTTGTCATCGACAGCTCAGAGAGTGTGGGACCGGATAACTTTGTAATCATCAAGAACTTTGTCAATACCCTGGTGGACCGGGTCACCGTGGGACGAAACGCCACTCGGATCGGCCTGGTCCTGTACAGCTTGGAGGTCAAACTCGTCTTCAACCTGGCCCGCTACGTGACGAAGCAGGACATAAAGCAGGCCATCCAAAACGTACCCTATATGGGCGAGGGGACATACACCGGCACGGCTATCCGGAAAGCCACACAGGATGCCTTCTTCAGCTCGCGAGTCGGAGTCAGCAAAGTGGCTATAGTTATCACAGATGGGCAGACGGACAAGAGAGAGCCGGTGAAGCTGGATATAGCCGTGAGGGAAGCACATGCTGCCAATATTGAGATGTTCGCTCTGGGGATTGTGAACACATCCGACCCGACGCAAGGAGAGTTTCTGCGAGAGCTCAACCTGATAGCGTCAGACCCAGACAGCGAGCACATGTTTCTCATTGATGATTTCAACACCCTGCCAGGCAAGTGTCATGTACCTATGTATTAAAAACCAGACCACTTTTACCTTTTTATTGGTCCAGTTCTGTTGAGGTGAGTGATACATGTCTGTCTGCATGAGCTATGATCTGAAAGTTTAATTTGAACCATTATTACGGAATATCATATAGTATATTCTTTTCTCCCCATATTTTGTTGCTATAGAATCCATCTAACTAGTTCCTTGCTCTCAAAACAGTTAAATTATATCACTGGTTTTGGCCTCTGTCAAATCTTTAGATCAGCTTTTTCAGGTCAGAAAATTAATGAAAGTAGAATAGAATAGAATATGTAACTTTCTATAGCCTTTGTCAGCCTGTACATTTACAAAAACACTGTCTGCATTTATCTGCTTTCTAAATCCTCTCTCTCTCGTCATGTCAGCTCTGGAATCCAAGCTGGTTAGCCAGTTTTGTGAGGACGAGAATGGAGCCCTCATTTACAACAAAATAACAAACGGCTTCAACGGCTACAACGGCCACGGCACCAACAGCAACCAGAACGTCGTCAACGCAAAGTATGCCGTCGGTGGTCACGGCTACAGGCCTCATCCAGACAGCAGCACCGGCACGCACACCCAGGGAGGAGGCTCCGTGGTCACCCAGACGGGCAGCAGAGGAACCAGCACGGTAAATACTACTACTATGAGATAACAAGGAGCCTTAGGAAGGTCATGATGGATAGGTTCTATGTTTATATCCTGTGTCCAGTCGTAAAAACTCAACCACCACTTTTACACCTACGGTAGGTCTATAAGTGGCTAAGTGGTACAGATGAATATCAACCATTTGTTCATTCATTCATTTTCAACCCCTTAATTCATTTCTGGGTCGGGGGGGATGGCAATGAGAGCTGTCCCCAACGCTCATAGCACCAGTCCCTCGCTGATCCTCTGCAGGGGGTGGGTCCACGGGGAGATGGCTTCTTGACACAGCCTTGTTCTTTCAGCAAAGGGGGTTCAGGCAACACGGGGTTAAGTGTCTCGCCCTAGGACACAACGACAGTAGACATTTGTGGGAGTGCTTGGAGTAGGTCCCATGGTGGGCTTGACCCCACGACCTTCAGGCCCAAAGGCTAATGCTCTACCAACTGAGCTACTGTCGCCCCTGAATATCAACCTTCATGGCTAAATCTGGCACTAATACATGGAAACATCTTTATGTTCAATGTATATTCAAATGAATAACAAATAAATAAATGTTGAAGAAAGTTCCTCAAAATGTTCAAACGTAAAACAACCATTACCATCTTTGAAAATGTTTGTGTTTGCAACTAGATTAATTTTAAATTAGCTCTAAATTATTTATTTAGCATCTGAAAATCTTGGGTTTGCCACTGATGTGTTTGCCTAACTGATTTCTAAGTTACTTTTACATTTATTCTCCACAATGGTTCATATTTTGCATGTGTCACAATATTGATTGAAAATGCAGCGATAATAGAACCAGGTCCACAAACCCGTCGAACACTGAAGTGAGGACTGAGTTAGAAAAGGGGAATTCAGTATTACTCAAACAAGAAAACAGTGAGTAAGATAATTATATGGAAACACGAAGAGTAGAAGCTTGTAAATGTCTAGTTTACACATTATTCCCTCTGTTTATCTTTTTGAGCATAGATTCAACTTAAATTGCTTATTTATTTAATTTATCTAAGACAAAATGATTACTTTTATCTTAATTCTTACATTCATTGTGTATATCTAGCAGAGATCTAGCAACTCAAAATTGGGAATCCATTTACCAAACAACAGATGTAGACACAGCTTACAACTCCTTTCTCCACATATTCACTTCCCTCTATGATAAAAATTGTCCCATCAAATATTCAAAGAAAAAAGACTACACCAATACCCCCTGGGTGACAAAAGGGCTTGCAAATGGTTGCAAAAAGAAAAATTATCTATATAGGAAATTTTTTAGAGTTAGAACTATAGAAAATGAACTGAGGTACAAAAAATACAAAAATAAGTTAACCAGTATACTAAGGACAAGCAAAAAAGACTATTACACAAATTTACTAATTAATAAAAAAAATGATATCAAAGAGATTTGGAAAATATTAAACACCGTTATTGGTCGAAGCTCTAGCCTGCACTACCCAGAGTATTTTGTGGAGAAGGACACCATCATCAGTGATAAAAGGATGATTGCAGAGTGTTTTAATGATTTCTTTGTCAGCATGGGCCCTGAACTTGCAAAAAAAATCCCATCTGACAGTGATCGGGCGAATCATCTAACTGAAGTAAACCAAAGTTCGATGTTCCTTTCTCCCACGGATGAGGAGGAAGTCCTCAGCATCATCAGAAAGTGTAAAAGTAAGACATCATTAGATATTGACGATATAGACATGAGAACTGTAAGGAATATAGCAAATGAAATCATTAAACCACTCACTTTCATCTGTAACTTATCTTTTCAGCTCGGTCACTTTCCATCACAAATGAAAAAAGCAAAAGTCATCCCAATATACAAAACTGGAAACAAACACTGCTTTAACAACTATAGGCCCATCTCCCTCCTGCCACAGTTTTCCAAAATATTAGAAAAACTATATGATAATAGACTTCGCAACTTTATCTGTCATTTTAATTTACTATCCGATGACCAATACGGCTTTAGAAATAGACGATCAACATCACTTGCCTTAATTGACTTAATTGAAGATATAACGAATGGTATAGATAATAATAAATTTGTAATAGGAATCTTTATCGATCTCCAAAAAGCCTTCGATACAATCGACCACCACATTCTCATAAATAAAATGGAAAACTATGGCATAAGGGGGACATCAAAAAAATGGTTGGAAAGTTATCTCAAGGGGAGGAAACAACTTGTTCAGTTTGATATGCACAGGTCAGGTTTTAGGGACATAACTTGTGGAGTTCCACAAGGATCGATACTGGGACCCACGCTTTTCCTTATGTACATCAATGAAATATGCAAAATATCAACAGTCATGAAGTTTATACTCTTTGCCGATGACACCACCATCACATGTTCAGGAGACGACTTGGAGCAACTTCTATCCCTTGTAACAATGGAGATGAACAGACTAAAATTATGGTTTGATAATAACAAACTGTCCCTTAACCTAAAAAAGACCAAAATCATGCTTTTTAGTAATCGCAAAAGTAAAATTCCAGTTAGAATTACAATTGATGACACACCGATTCACAAAGTTCCACAAAACGTATTCTTGGGAGTGATAATAGATGAAGATCTGAGCTGGAAACCTCACATAAGTTACTTGAGGACAAAAGTTGCTAAGTGTGTGGGAATAATGAGGAGAGCATGTCACCTGATCAATACCAATGCTCTTATGTTACTGTATCATTCATTTATAATGTCATATTTAAATTACTGTGTGGAAGTGTGGGGTAATTGCTACAAATCTCACTTACAGCCTCTGATTATCTTGCAAAAGAAGGCTATAAGGATTGTGTCCAACGTCCACTACAGACATCCTTCCAATCCTCTGTTCATTCAAAACCAGCAACTGAAACTGCAGGACTTGATTGTCCTAAAAACTGCTCAGATAATGTTCAGGGCGTCTGAAAACTCTCTACCGTCCAATATAAGTCATCTTTTCAACGATAGAGATGCTCATCATAATTACAGATTAAGAGGAAACAAACTTTTATATGTACCTAGATTTAGGACGACATTAAAATCTATGTGTATCTCGGTCCGAGGCGTCCACATTTGGAATGGATTAAAAGAAGAATTAAAAACATGCTCAACTATGACTGCTTTTAAAAAGAAATTTAAAAGAGACATATTGAAGAAATACACGGAGGACAGAGAGTGATGCCCTGGGCCTGGACAGAGCGGTGGGAGAGAGGTGTGTGGTCAGGGAGTGTTTGGGCCAGTGTCTGTGTGAGTGAGAGAATGAGTGTGCGTCTTGTCTCTGTGTGTCTTGTTTTTTTATTATTATTTTGTATTTTGTATTTGATGCAATGATATAACTGTACAGTGTTAGTGTAATTTGTATTTGCTGTTTTGCTGGAAGTGTGAGGGGGTTGGAAATGTATAAGCGTCTGCTTCACCCAACCCCCTTTTCAAAACTTGTGACTCTTTTTATTTGATAACTGATATTTGTACTTGTTTTTGTGCAGGTTTTGAAATAAATAAATAAATAAATAAATATATCTTATTTGACGAGCACATATCACCAGAATGATTGACAGCTGGCAGGACCAATAGTCTTGATGATCCACCCTGAAGTAAAATATCCTCCAATACACCTTTAAGTGCATTCTTATCTTGTTTTCAGGGGGGTGGGGGTCAGTTTGTCCACACAGACACATCGAGGTGGAGCACTGAACGCGGTGACACATTCAACCGTCAAGATTCTCTAGACAGAGGCAGCTCTTCATCTTCATCATCATCATCATCATCATCCACTACAAACGTAACGATATCCTCCTCGGGTGGTTCAGTCCCGATCGTGCCAGCTCCAAGGCCAGCTCTTCCCAAAGGTACACTCTCGTCTTTAAAAGTCGAGGCAGGTACAAACACGAATTAATTACAAAGGAAAAACAATCTGGTGTTGTGTGAATAATTACAGACAAACGCGATCAACAATGGGAAAAACATTAGAAGCGAAGGACATATGTAATAGGGTTTCTTTCAGAGGTGCACACAACAAGGCGAGACATGCCGCCAGAACTCATTACCTGGGATCAGTTTTCACATTTTACTGTGCTGCATTTAATAGAGTATATGGCAGGATGGAAGAACACATCCCGCTGCGTTCCAGAGCAGTGCGGTTCAAAGCGTGTGTTTTTCACAGTTCAGCACTATTGTTATGACAACAGGAAGTTACATCTGGTTACAGCTGGGAACTGATTGATTACATTGCAGAAAAATAACGTTAATAAAAAAAATATATGTTCTTTCATCTTGTGACAATTGAGAAGTTGCACAGCCTGGTTCAGCCCAGTTCCCAGTAAAGTAAAGTGTTGATGGTCTGGTTCACAGGTTGTGTGCCTTTTGAGTGGCAAGTTCAAAAATAGGGGCTGGTAGGTGAAGATCTGGGAGACCCAATTATTTCTGATGAGTTGTGGCAGAGTGGATGGAATTTCCCTGTTTCTGTGCAGATAGAGCAGCTTTCTACACCAACACTGTTTCACCAAAGGGCTTCACATGGTTATAAGGACGCACCAAAAATTAGCTTGTATCGTTATAGTTTTGCCTTTTTGTAGCATGTGCAATATGTGTTGGCACTGCTAACATGTGCAGACGTACGCACATGATATTTCTCTCTTCTGTATTTCTAGATTATTGTTTACTTACTTCTTTCTAATATTAAAGTCAGAAAATGTGGTCTTAATTCTTGTCTGCATTATGCTAAAGCTAGATATGTTATACTTGCTTCTTTGTTATGCTAAAGTCAGGGCCTTTTTTATTTTAGTATATAGTTTGTGTTCAGTTACTGTACCTGAAGCGGTTTGCTCCTCGTTCCTACTGGTCTGTGGTGATGCAACACTGACATTTCCCCACTGTGCGATGGATAAAGGATCTCTTAATCTTAATCTTAATCCTTGTTCTTTCAGAGACGATACCTTTAGACCCTCGCTGCAGCCTGGTGCTGGACCAGGGCACATGCCGGGATTACATCATCCGCTGGTATTACGACAAACAGGCCAACGCCTGCGCACAGTTCTGGTTCGGAGGCTGCGGCGGCAACAGGAACCGCTTCGACACCGAGGAGGAGTGCAAGCGGACATGTGTCAGAGTCGGCTCCACCGGTATGTTCCTCTTGAATCACCGCCCGTTTGCATCAATCACACCTCTTCATGTTTATGAATGTAGGCCTGGTTTCGCTGTTTTAACTGTATTGTCTTTGCCATGTGTTTTGACTTTTACAGGGGGATAAAGAAAAGCATCTGTCGTACATCTGCACGGGATACTTCCAACAAAAAGCAGCTAAAACCACTTTCTACTTTAGTCCATTTTTTACAAGAATCTCAGGCGCATTCTGTACATGTACACGTTTGATGTGAGGATGTCTAACAGTAGGAAACGTTTCTTACCCATCTGCAGTAAACTCTCACTCCAGCAGAACACACTAAATAACTCACTGATCAAGCCAAACCTTACTCTGAAAGATACCTCCAGTGTTTTTTCCATTGTTCATTGTCGGCAAGATAATCCATCATGCTCATTCAGGTGTACAGACCAGCACTGTGTGTGTGAATTTTTTTTTTTATATATATTGTTTTAACCACTGTAAAGACGACAAACATGGACTGTAAGCTTAGAATATCTGAAAATATTTACGCGTTTTTGTTGTTTTGGTTAACAACGGTCCACTGTGTCAAGTCTTAGATTGAAATGATCTAATTTTGTAATGTGTTTGTATTTGATTGTATAACTCATATTGTGTTTACATTGTTTTAGTTCTTTATTATTAATCAGACTGTTCAAGTTGAGCATTGATGGACTGACACACTCTGTATACACACTGCCCTCTACTGGGATACACAAGCACAAGTCATTGAACTGAGGTAAGCTGACACCAAGCCTTTCCTGTCTTTTCTACACCTGGCTTGTAATATTATTCCAACAATCTTCCTTGCGTGTCAATGTTTCCTTCAATGGGCTGCCAATAAATAAATCTGACAATAACATACAACAAAATGTAAATATTCTTTTTTTTTAGAAGACATTGGGTCCTAAATGCAGAGCCGATTTCTTGCACTCTCCCCTTCTGCTTAAATTACATGTGAGACACTCTTAGACAAGTGGCGTAGTCTGATCTATCTTTAGTGCTGCCCATGGGAGGTATGTTATCTAACTCTACAAATTCAACGGTTTATCAGGCTTCCAAAATGAAACCCAAACAACCTAAGATCTTATTGATTCTGACAATTCCACAAGCTTTGTAATTGTCAGATCTGGCATTCAATCTTTAGAGTGGCTGTTCAGGTTTTATAGCACAAGATTACCTTCCAGACAACACTGTTTTTCAATGTTCATGAACTAAGTAAGCTCACTCGGGCAGCGGATTTCTCACAGTTGGGGGAGAGAGGAGGAGATGGTGGGCTGCTCCTGTATACGTGCCTCTCACCTGTTTCTGCAACAGCTGCGGCACCCAAACTTTACTGAACCATTTTTAGCACAATGGCTGTGATGTTTTTAAATAGCATATTAAACATGCCAATGATACTTGTTTCTACTTTTAAAACAATGACTGTGACTAGATTTTATTAAATTGTTGTGGAAATTACACTTTAGATTACTTTCTTTTAGTGCCAATTGTGTGATAGTTTGTTGTGTAGGAAAATGACACTGCAATTGTCAAATCTTGTTTTTAAAAAGTCAGAATGTACTCAAAATAAGATTAAAAATAACACTCGGGCACTCAAGCAATTATTACCTTATTTGTTATAATCTGTTGCAGTGTACGTTATTAAGAGATCCTGTGTTTGTCCCTCAGTGGATAAATGTCAGTACAGCCCTCCAAACCCATTGAGAAGATCCTGCTATTACTACGATATGAGTATATTGGTTCCACTTTTAACCTTTTACTAATGCTTTCTATTCAGGGCTTTGACCATATTGTCTTGCCCATTGGCCGGGGCACATGACACCTCCAAGCTGAATCACAGAGGCATAGCCCAGGCCTGAGCAGTTGCTTCTTTCAGTCTATGACAGCAGCTGCTCGAGATGAGGCCTGTGGTTTGGCCCAGTCAGATTCCACTGTAGTCGGGGTAGGCCTGGGGTGGGGAGGCTATTTATAGACTGGGATTAAATTGCAGGGTCTTCACACCGGCACCCGTTTGGCCTCTCTGCCTTTTTCGAGCCAGGACTAGTGGCAGAAGGACCTGTGGCTTCCTGCTCCTCTCACACCTCTCTCCGCGGACCACTTTCTCTGACTGTGTGCCCTCCTGACCAGCCATGGACCCCAATGCCATCAAGGAGGAGCTGCGCCTGTTCCAGAGCACCCTCCTGCAGGACGGCCTGAAGGAACTGCTCAACGAGAACAAGTTTGTAGACTGTTCACTGAAGGTGGGCGACCGCTGCTTTCCCTGCCACCGGCTCATCATGGCCGCCTGCAGCCCATACTTCAGAGAGCTCTTCTTCACTGAGGAGGGTAAGGAGGCCGCCAACACCAAAGAAGTGGTCCTGGATGACGTGAACCCCAACACTCTGGACTTGATAATTAGATATTTATATTCAGCCGAGATTGACCTGACTGATGACAATGTTCAGGATATAATCGCTGTGGCAAACCGCTTTCAGATTCCCTCAGTCTTCACTGCTTGTGTCAACTACCTCCAGAAGAAAATCTCCCTTCCCAATTGCATGGCCATATTTCGGATGGGCCTAGTGCTCAGCTGTCCCAGACTGGCCATAGCTGCACGTAACTTCATTGCTGACCGCTTTGAGTTACTCCACAAGGATGAGGAGTTCCTGAAGCTTGCACCACATGAACTGTTTGCAGTCATTGGTGGAGACTCTTTGAACGTGGAGAAGGAGGAGATGGTATTTGAAGCTGTTATGTCTTGGGTCCGTCATGACAGGGACAGTCGCATCAAGATCCTCAAAGACGCCTTCAACTGCATCCGTTTCCGTCTTCTGCCAGAGAAATATTTCACAGAAAAAGTAGAGAAAGACGATATTATCAAGGCTGACCCTGAGCTGCAGAAGACCATCCAGATTATCAAAGATGCCTTCAAGGGGAAACTTCCAGAGAAACCTCCAAAGAAAGAAGGAGAGGAGGGCGCTGAAGAAGGGGAAGAGGACAGCCCATTCCCTGGCTTCTTGAACGACGAGCGCAGGCATGGCATGTACATGCGAGATTTCATTGTGATGATGAACGACACAGCCGCCGTGGCGTACGATGTCAATGAGAACGAGTGCTTCCTGGCGGCCATGTCAGAACAGGTCCCACGTAACCATGTGAGCATAGCGACGCAAAAAAACCAGGTCTTCATCATCGGAGGACTATTTGTGGATGAAGAGAACAAGGATTTGCCCCTGCAGTGCTACTTTTATGTGGTATGTTGTCCTTTATACAGGCTAATGTCCATTTGTAGTCTCACAGTAGGTCCATGTTAATGTTTTGGCCCTTTCCAAACTGCAGTCTACTGCAGTTTGGAATGAATGTGTAATTTTAGATTAACCTTGAAGTAACTTAGCATGGTTTGAAATCTTATTTTGTCCTTGACCGAAAGGCGATAGAAAAATGAGACAGATATTCATATGAATTTTTCAGTGTATAACTGGGACACACTTATCTTGCTGTCTGTGATCAATGCCTGGATTATGTTTCCCTTGCTGCCCATCAGACTAGAGCAACACACACATGTTGAGAGCAGTGATAAAAGCTCTGAATAACTCTCTTTTACAGCTAAATCAATACGTACAGTGTGCTCTGCATTCTCGTGTTCAAAGATAAACATACTGTTAATGCTGCTGTTTGTTGCTCTGCAGTTGGATCCGCTTTCGGCTGAATGGCTGGCACTGCCGCCCATGCCCTCTCCACGATGCCTCTTCAACATCGGGGAAAGTGAGAACATGCTGTTTGCCATCGCAGGGAAAGACCTACAAACCAACGAGTCGCTGGATACAGTCATGTGTTATGATGTTGAGTGAGTGTTTTAGAATTCTTCCGCTTTCATTTCTCACCCTGCTGTGGGAAACAAATGAAAGTTCTGGGCGATAATTAACTGCAAAAGTTTCCCACTATTATTCATATTCAAAAAATAATCTTGTCTTTCTATCACTCATTAATTATACTATGCTATCCATGCCCCTGTGTTAACACCACAACAGGACCACTTATACCAAATATTGTAACCGTAGAATATCCATCCATCCATCCATTTTCTTCCGCTTTATCCGTTGCCGGGTCGCGGGGGCAGCAGTCTAAGCAGAGACGCCCAGACTTCCCTATCCACACACACCTCCTCCAGCTCGTCCGGGGGGACCCCAAGGCGTTCCCAGGCCAGCTGAGAGACATAGTCTCTCCAGCGTGTCCTGGGTCTTCCCCGGGGCCTCCTCCCGGTGGGACGTGCCCGGAACACCTCCCCAGGAAGGCGTCCAGGAGGCATCCTGAACAGATGCCTGAGCCACCTCAACTGGTTCCTCTCGACGTGGAGAAGCAGCGGCTCTACTCCGAGCTCCTCCCGTGTGACCGAGCTCCTCACCCTATCTCTAAGGGAGCGCCCAGCCACTCTGCGGAGGAAGCTCATTTCGACCGCTTGTATCCGCGATCTCGTTCTTTCGGTCATTACCCAAAGCTCATGACCATAGGTGAGGGAGGGCACGAAGATTGACCGGTAAATCGAGAGCTTCGCCTTTCGGCTCAGCTCCCTCTTTACCACAACGGTCCGATACAGCGACCGCATCACTGCGCACGCTGCACCGATCCGCCTGTCAATCTCACGCTCCATCCTCCCCTCACTCGTGAACAAGACCCCGAGATACTTGAACTCCTCCACTTGAGGAAGGACCTCTCCACCCGCCTGAAGAGGGCAAGGCACCTTTTTCCGGTCGAGCACCATGGCCTCGGATTTGGAGGTGCTGATTCTCATCCCAGCCGCTTTGCACTCGGCTGCAAACCGTCCCAGTGCATGCTGCAGGTCCTGGTTCGTTGGAGCCAGCAGGACGACATCATCCGCAAAAAGTAGAGATGAAATCCTGTGGTTCCCGAACCGGACCCCCTCCGGCCCCTGGCTGCGCCTAGAAATTCTGTCCATAAATACAGTGAACAGAACCGGTGACAAAGGGCAGCCTTGGCGGAGGCCAACATGCACCGGGAACAGGTCTGACTTACTGCCGGCAATGCGAACACAGCTCTGACTCCGGTCATACAGGGACCGGACGGCCCTCAGCAGAGGACCCCGGACCCCGTACTCCCGGAGGACCCCCCAAAGGACACCCCGGGGAACACGGTCGAACGCCTTCTCCAAATCCACAAAGCACATGTGGACAGGTTGGGCGAACTCCCATGAACCCTCGAGTATCCGATGGAGAGTATAGAGCTGGTCCAGTGTTCCGCGACCTGGACGAAAACCACACTGCTCCTCCTGAATCCGAGATTCGACCATCGGACGTAGCCTCCTCTCCAGTACCTTGGAGTAGACCTTACCGGGGAGGCTGAGGAGTGTGATCCCACGATAATTGGAACACACCCTCCGGTCCCCCTTCTTGTAGAGAGGGACCACCACCCCGGTCTGCCACTCCATTGGTACCGCCCCCGATCGCCACGCGATGCTGCAGAGACGTGTCAGCCAAGACAGTCCTACAACATCCAGAGACTTTAGATAGTCAGGACGGATCTCATCCACTCCCGGCGCCTTGCCACCATGGAGGCTGCCAACCACCTTGGTGACCTCGGCCAGGGAGATGTAAGTATCCGCCCCAACATCCTCAGCCTCTGCCTCCTGGACGGAGGACGTGACGGGGGGATTGAGGAGAACCTCGAAGTATTCCTTCCACCGCCCGACAATATCCCCAGTCGAGGTCAGCAGCCCTCCACCCGCACCATACACGGTGTTGGCAAAGAACCGAGGCCGACCGATAGTCATGCTCCATGGACTCTCTGAACTCCTCCCAGACCCGGGTTTTTGCCTCTGCAACAGCCCGGGCCGCGGCACGTTTGGCCTGCCGGTACTGGACAGCTGCCTCAGGAGTCCCACGAACCATCATTGCTCGATAGGACTCCTTCTTCAGCCTGACGGCATCCCTTACTGCCGGTGTCCACCACCGGGTTCGGGGATTGCCGCCGGGACCAGCACCAGAGACCTTGCGACCACAGCTACGAGCCGCCGCATTGGCGATAGAGGAAGAGAACATGGTCCACTCGGACTCGATGTCCCCCTCCTCTGCCGGGACCTGGGAGAAGCTCTCCCGGAGGTGTGAGTTGAAAGTCCGTCTGACAGGGGGCTCAGCAAGACGTTCCCAGCAAACCCTCACTACACGCTTGGGCCTGCCAGGTCTGTCCGGCCTCCTGCCCTGCCAGCGGATCCAACTCACGACCAGGTGATGATCGGTTGACAGCTCCGCCCCTCTCTTCACCCGATTGTCTGAGACACGCGGTCGAAGGTCAGATGATACGACAACAAAGTCGATCATCGACCTCCGGCCTAGGGTGTCATGGTGCCACGTGCACTGATGGACACCCTTGTGCTCGAACATGGTGTTCGTGATGGACAAACTGTGACTGGCACAGAAGTCCAACAACTGAACACCGCTCGGGTTCAGATCAGGGGGGCCGTTCTTCCCGATCACCCCTCTCCAAGTGTCACTGGCATTTCCCACATGGGCGTTGAAGTCCCCCAGGAGAATAACGGAGTCCCCGGGCGGTGCACTGTCCAGTACCCCTCCCAAGGACTCCAAGAAGGCCGGGTACTCTGCACTACCGTTAGGCCCGTAGGCCGTCACAACAGTGAGAGACTTGTCCCCCACCCGGAGGCGGAGGGACGCGACCCTCTCATTCACCGGGGAGAACTCCAACACGTGGCGGCTGAGATGGGGGGCAATGAGTATGGCCACCCCAGCTCGCCGCCTCTCCCCGCGGGAAACACCAGAAAAGTGGAGCGTCCAACCCCTCTCAAGGAGTTGGGTTCCAGAGCCCAAGCTGTGTGTGGAGGTGAGGCCGACTATCTCTAGTCGGTATCGCTCAACCTCCCCCACAAGCTCGGGCTCCTTCCCCCCCAGTGAGGTGACGTTCCACGTCCCAAGAGCCAGATGTTGGGTGTGTGGACTGGGTCGTCGAGGTCTCCGCCTTCGACTGCTGCCCAGTCCTCTCTGCACCTCGCCACCACGGACTCCTCTGCAGGTGGTGGGCCCACAGGAGGGACTGCCCACGTCATCCCTTCGGGCTGAGCCCGGCCGGGCCCCGTGGGCTAAGGCCCGGCCACCAGGCGCTCGCTTGCGAGCCCCGACCCCAGGCCTGGCTCCAGGGTGGGGCCCCGGCTGCGCCATGCCGGGCGACGTCACGGTTCTCATTGTCGTGCTGTCCATGGTTGGCTTCGGACTGCTCTTTGTCTGACTCGTCACTTGAGACCTGTCTGCCATGGGAGACCCTACCAGGGGCATGAAGCCCCAGACAGCATAGCTCCCAGGATCATCCGAGTGCTCAAACTCCCCCACCACGTTAAGGTGGCAGTCCAAGGGGGGAGTAACCGTAGAATAGATACAAGTAATTCATATGATTATTTGAATATGTTTTTTTAATTACGTTGTTGTTGTTGTGTTTTTAGTAAATTGCGGTGGAGCGAGACAAAAAAGCTTCCTTTGAAAATCCACGGGCAGTCGGTAGTCTCCCACAAAGGACTGGTCTACTGCATTGGAGGAAAGACAGATGACAAGTGAGTTAATGAGGGCGGGTATGAGGGTCCTGCAGCTGTTGTGGGTCCATCACCGGCAGTCTGCAACATCATATACAACAATTACAGCCCTGCAGTCCGGCAATATCTCCTCATAATGGGAACATGAGCCGGCTGACCGTCCGCTGACAATACATCACCGGAAATAAATCACTCTAGATCAACATGGGAGCTAATGGTGACAGAGAAATGAGGAGAAATTTGCAGAATAAATGTTCTTTGAAATAGTGGGCTATCAGTGGCGTCAGTGAAGCAGCGTTCTCAAGAGCTTACAGGTGTTGGCAGACTTCATCAACAAGAAAATGGAAAGTTTAGGTGTCAAAAAACAACACCACACGTTTAACATTCAAAGAAACTGCATGAGTGAATAATGACGATTCAATGAGTGCTGGTGTTTCATGTTGATTATACGCACATGTGGGATAATTATGGGATAGTGAAACAATGGAAAATGATAAAAAATGAGGTCATAATTGCTTGAAACGAGTGGATGTTCTCAATATTCTGTCTCAAAATTATAACAAGATCATTTTATTTGTCCCATTAGCATATCTTGTTTTTAAGGCAGTCAAAACTCTGCACAAATCAAGGTCCATTTTGTAAAATTTGAGCAATTTTTGACTTGTTTTTATCACGTTTTGCAGTGAGTCTGTAGTTTATCGCCAACATTTGTGTGAGATGTCTGGATGTAGAAGAGCTGTTTAGAAAGTCAGACCGTTATTAGCATTGCATGTATGTATTGAGTCTGACCTTTAGAACTCAGTGGGCGGCTCTGCATTATTCTTTATTCTGTATCGAAGAGCACAGCATAAGTGAGGGCACAGAAGTCCTCCAAACACCCAAGTTTTTAAAGATAAAGCGTAAATCCTAAAATGTGTAATTTCTTTTCCATTCATTTTCTTTTCAACAGCAAAGCACTCAACAAGATGTTCGTTTACAATCATAAGCAGTCTGAGTGGAAAGAGCTGCCGGCCATGAAGACCCCTCGATCCATGTTTGGAGCCGTGGTTCACAATGACAGCATCATAGTGGCGGGGGGTGTGAACGAGGAGGGGCTCACTGCGACCTGTGAGGCCTACAACTTGGCTACAAACAAGTACGTCTACAGCTCGCTAAGAAACATAGCAGCTACTTGTATTGTATATTTTGTGTGCTCCTTGTATGCTCTTGCTACAGCCCTGTTTGTGAATAAAGGTTCTCTTATCTTATCTTAAACACATGTGCTATGATAGATAGGTAGATAGATACTTGATCGATCCCCCATAGGAGAAATACAAGTATCCAGCAGCAGAAGGAATGCAGATAACTCTATACTAAATAGAGGTCAAATTAAATCTCTAACGTTAGCATAAAAGGGAAACAGAATCAAATCTCTAGCTTAACCCTTTAGGCGCCAGTGGTTTTCTCCTAAGAAGCTCAATAATTTTGACATCCTAATTTCTTAAAGATGATAAGAGATAGAGGCTTTATTTAAATTCATAAATTATAAAAATGGCCCAAAGTTTATGTAGGAATTAAATGTACCCTTCGAATGTGCATATTATGACTTCATATGGTGGTGGCAATTGTGAATTTTTATTTTTTATTTTTTACTGAAAGACATAGCAACCACTAGAACATGAACACACAAACAGAACTCAGACCGTACTATACTCAAGTGTCAGAAAAACAAAAGAGTCCAAATAATTGTGTGGCAGGAGTATGTGTCAAGCAGGGTGTCAAAATTCATTCAGTCTGCCGTTTAAAACACTACTGCATACTGTCGACTTAAGTCAACCGTGGCGCCTAGAGGGTTAAGAAAAGGAGCAACTTTAGCATAATGAAGAAGCAATAATTAAGTACAAAATCTCTGACTTAAGCATAATAATGAAGTGAAAAAAAATGTGTTAAAAAGCCAAATATCTGTTGTACAATGCCAGAGCCAGAGCATGCAGTGGTTTTTCAGAAGTCCACTTTGTCTTTGGCTGACCTTCTGCTGCTCCTTTGTCTCTTCAGGTGGGAGGAGTTCACAGAGTTTCCCCAGGAGAGGAGCTCTGTCAACCTGGTGAGCACCGGCGGCCTGCTGTACGCGGTGGGCGGTTTTGCCATGGTGGAGATGGAGAACAAAGAGGTGGCTCCCACGGAGGTCACAGACGTCTGGCAGTAAGTCTTTTAAAGCTATAGGCCTCCTGGGGGATTGTGCACATTAAAACTGCATGGCTTTGGAAGGCTATTCGTTTTCATTAGTGATCGCCGGGGCTCTGTTTCAGGTACGAGCAGGATAAGAAGCAGTGGAGTGGCATGCTGAGAGAGATGCGTTACGCTGCTGGATCCTCCTGTGTGTCCATGCGGCTCAACGCTGCCAGGATGCCCAAACTGTAGTCTCTTCGCCTTTTTTTTGTAAACGCCAACTCTACTTGGATTTCTGTGTCATGAGTCGAGCTTTGACATTTCAATCTCTTCTGTCCCCTCCACCCCACCCCAACCCCCAACCCCCCCCCCCCCAACAACCCCACCCCCCCCCCCCCCCTCCCCCCCCCCCCCCCATCCCACCCTACACCCCAACACCACACCCCCCCACCCCCCCTCCCATACCCAACCCCCCCACCCCCCACCCCCTCAACAACTACACCTACATATATAACCACTAACTAACATCCCCTATACACCCCGATTAACACCTAATACCTACCCTACCCTCCCTTTCCACCCACCCCACAACCCCCCATATCCATACCCTACAACACCAACACTAACCAACCCCCTATCCAAATCATACCAAACTCCCCCCCCCCCCCCACCTCACCCCCCCACCCCCCACCATCACACCACCCCCCCCCCACCCTCCCCCCCCCCCCTTCCCCCCCCCCCACACACAAAGAACCCCACCCACCCCCCCCCTCCCCCCCCCCCCCCCCCCCTCCCTCCCCCACCCCCCCCCCCACACACCTCCCACCCCCCCCCCCCCCCCACCCCCCCCCCCCCCCCCCCACCCCCCCCCCCCCCCCCCCCCCCCCCACTTACCCCCCCCCCCTCCCCCCCACACCCCCCCTCCCCCCCACCCCCACCACACCCCACCCCCACCCCCCCACCCCACCCACCCACCCCCCCCCCCCCCCCCCACCCCCCCCCCCCCCCCCCCCATACCACCTCCACCCCCCCCCCACCACCTCCCCCCCCCCAACCCCCCACCCCCCCCCCACCCCCCCCCCCCCCCCCCCCCCCCCCCCCCCCCCCCCCCCCCCACCCCCCTTCCCCCCCCCCCCGCCCCCACCCACCCCACCCTCCACCACCCCCAACCATTAATCCCCCCCTCCCCCCCCCCCCCCGACCCCCCCTCCACACGCCCTCCTTTCCCCCCCCTCCCCCACTCAAACCATCCACACCCAGACACCACTCCGACCACCTCCCCCCCCCCCCCCCATATTCCGACCTCTTCTATCCCCCCATAGCCCCCTTCCCCACCCCCCCCCCCCCCCCCCCACCCCCCCCGCCCGCCCCACCCCCACCCCCACCCTACCTACTCGACCCACGTTCCTATTTTTCCAGCTTATGAATCGAATTAAACCAGCAGGTTACCGAGTTCTCGGACCGGCTGGGCATGTCTAACTTCTGTGGCGAAGCAGCTATTGCAGCTCTTGCGAATGTTTATGATATGCTTGTTAAGAAAATCCACCACCTGTTGTTCCAGTAGACTGGCAGCTCTTCCCTCGGCGGTCCTCAGACGTTTCTCCGCTCTCAGCTGCCGCCCTGGCGTCTGGTACGGTGATCGAGTCTTGAATCCAGTAATCACCCAAATCGGTCCCTCCGCGTAAATTGTCTAGTTCATCAATCCTCGCTCCCGCGTAGAGATCCGTGTCTGTCCTTTCTCTACATCATGACTTATTCACAGTAGTCACTTCATCAACACGTTTGCGCAGGCGCACTCTGTTGAGCAGTCCCCTATGCTAGCTCACTAGACTAAGTTATAAATGCACGATGATCTCCACCATAGACGACAGCCGCATGCAAGTTATTGCATTGTAGGTACATTCCTGCCCCACAACATTTAGCACGCACACCGTTGGCTTAGCACGGTGTTTAATGCCCCGGCTCTTCGCCCGACCTTGTCTCCACCCCCGCACACATATCCCGGCAGAGATAATCAAAGCAGGCCCATACATTTATCGTCCAAAACACCACTTGACAGTACTACCCTTCTCCGCATTCGTCACCGCATTTCCTTCCTACCCAGTACCATATACCCATACCCATAATCTCAACCGTCACCCGTACCCTTCAACCACAACACCCACCATCTCTACACCCCCTCTCTAAAACCCTTACATATCGCAACACACCCCAATAACATTAAAAACACCCAACCCACAACATCACCACACCCCCCCCCAATCAAAAAACCCCCACCCCCACCCCCCTCCCTTATTTCCCCCACATACACCCTCCCCTATCACCCTCTTCCCCACAACCCATCCCTGTACCCCAATCTCCCCCACCCCCTCCCCCACCTCCTCCCCCCCCCCCCCCCCACACCCCCCCCCCCTCTCCCCCCCTCCCCCCCCCACCACCACCTCCCCCCCCCCCCCTCCCCCTCCCATTCCCCCCCCCCCCCCCCACCCCCCCAAACCCCATCCCTGCCCCTGCCCCCCCCCCCACCCCCCAACCCCCTACACCCACCCCTCCCCCCCCACCCCCCTTATCCCCCCCCCACCCCCCCCCCCCCCCCCCCCCCCCACCCCCCCCCCCCCCACCCCCCCCCCCCCCCCCCCCCCCCCCCCCCCCCCCCCCCACCACCCCCCCCCCCACCCCCCCCCCCCCCCCCCCCCCCACCCACATCCACTCTCTCCCCCCCCCACCCCCCCCAGAGTGGAAACAACCCATCCTGCCGATCCCCACAACGAGTGTGATGGCTTTCATGTACACGCACAGATGGGTCGGGAAGAGCGGGAGACAGAGCGGGACGAAAAGGCGCCGAGATAGAGGTCCGTACAGAGAGGATTTAAAGGGACACCCCGAGGCTTTAAGAAACGCGTGGAAGGGAATATGATTGCAGGACATGGGACCTCACGGTGTGGCACCTGTATGCCTTTGCGTCAACTGACGGATAACGGTGAACGGTGGGTCCAGTTTCCAGTATAATTTGGACATATTAGGCTTTCGTATCCACTGCCTTTCTGATCAGCTAAAGTGCATACTACCAATTGTCCAACAAGGCTGGAAGATAAGACATCCCAGTATTGCAGGCACCAGCGCATCTCCATAGCTCGCTCACACTCGCTCGCACCACCCACCAGGCATACCCCGGGCTATCAAGGCCGACCCCGGGACACACACCTCAGACTCCACACACCTCAGGTGGAACTGCACGGATAAACTACAGTGCTTAGGGGGGATGATGGATAGGACGGGTCGTGAATCCGGGTGGACGACGCTGTGATGTTAATACGCCCAACATATCGTTTAGCATTGTGGGCCAAAAACATTTGATAAGGTAATCATCATGACCAGTAGCAACCCACACTGCCCTCCCCATGGACTGGCACCTATAACGGAGGGGGGAGGACGTTTGCGCCCTCTGATAGTCTCCTGGGGAGCACATCTGACAGGGGCAACAAGTCCCCCCCCTCCCCCACCCCCATCGGCACCTCCCCCGCAACACCCCACCACACCCCTCCCCCTACTCCCCCCAATGGCCGCACGGTCTATCAATGTGACGAGATCAGACAACGAGGCAGTCCGAAGCCAACCATGGGACAGCACGACAATTGAGAACCGTGACGCTAGCCCGGCAATGGCGCAGCGGGGGCCCCACCCTGGAGCCAGGCCTGGGGTCGGGCGCTCGCAAGCGGAGCGCCTGGTGGCCGGGGCCTCTAGCCCACGGGGCCCGCCGGGCTCAGCCCGACGGTATGCGTGGGCAGTCCCTCCTGTGGGCCCCACCACCTGCAGAGGAGTCCGTCGGGTGGCGAGGTGCAGAGAGGAGCTGGGCAGCCGTCGAATGCGGAGACTGACGCCCAGTCCACACACCCAACATACACGAGCGCTCTAGGGACGTGGAAGTCCCCTCACGGGGGGGACAGGAGCCCGAGCTTGTGGGGAGAGGTTGAGCGCTACGACTTCGAGAAGTGGCCTCACCTCCCCACACAGCATGGGTCAGAACCCAACTCCATGCGAGGGGTTGGACGCTCCAACTTATCATGTGTTCCCGCGTGGAGAGGCGCGAGTGGGTTGGCCATACTCCTTTGCCCCCCATCTCAGCCGCCCCGTGATGGAGTCTCCCGGGAACATCGAGGATGACCCCGAGGTCGCTACCCCTCCGCTGTCCGTTGTGTTGGTCTCCCACTTCATACATCCCAGTATTGTGGTGTGTGTTGTGTGTGTGTGGGGTGGATGTCCACCTGTCACCCTGACGATCCTGCTACACCCTTCCAACTATGCGTCCAAGTTCGGTGTCAGGACATATCCCCTGTCCCTTTGTCACTCCCACACCCCATTTTTCCAACCCTCCCCATATTTCCCATCTATCCCAATTCTCTTTTATCACCTAATCCTCCCTTCCCCCCAACACACCCACTATTTCTAACCATACATTCCTACCCCCATCTCCCCACCCCATAACCAACCCCCCCCCCATCCCCCCCCTAACCCACACCCAAACACCCCCACACACAACCCAACCCCAAACAACAACACCACCCCCCCCAACCCCACCTCACCCCCCACCCAAAACACCACCCAAACACAACAAAAAACCCACCCCCCCCCAACCACCACCCCCCCCCCCCCCCCCCCCCCCCCCCCCCCCCCCCCCCCCCCCCCCCCCCCCCCCCCCCCCCCCCCCCCCCCCCCCCCCCCAACAAAACAAACCCCCCCCACACCCCACCCCCCCCCCCCCCCACCCCCCCACCCAAACCCCCCCCACCACCCCCCCCCCCCCCCCCCCCCCCCCCCCCCCCCCCCCCCCCCCCCCCCCCCCCCCCCCCCCCCACCCCCCCCCCCCCCCCCCCCCACACCCCCCCCCCCCCCCCCCCCACCCCCCCCCCACACCCCCCCCCCCCCCCCCCCCCCCCCCCCCCCCCCCCCCCCCCCCCCCCCCCCCCCCCCCCCCCCCCCCCCCCCCCCCCCCCCCCCCCCCACCCACACCAACCACCCCACCCCCCCCCCCCCCCACCCCCCCCCCCCCCCCCCCCCCACCCCCCCCCCAACCAACCAACCCACCCCCCCCCCCCCACCCCCCCCCACCCAACCAACCACCCAAACACCCAACATACCCCTACCCCACCACCCCAACAAACCAAATAAACCCCCCCCCCCCCCCCCAACCCCCCCCCAACCAACACAAAACAACACCCCCCCCCACCCCCCCCCCCACAATACATCAACCAACCTATCAAAACCCCCATCATTTTCCCCCCACCCACCTCCCCCCCTTCCCTTCCACCCCCCCTACCATTCTTTCTTCACTACCTCATTAATCCACCTTCAACCTTCTTCTCCTATATTAAAACCTCCCCCCTTACTCCCTTCCCTCATCTCCCCTAACCAACCCACTTCACCACTCTTTAACCCTTCTAACTCCCCCCCCCCAAACCCCCATATCCCCACATATTCACTTCTCCTTCTATATTTCCTAAAACCCCTTTTATCACAAATTTTTTACCACCTTTTACTTATAACCCCACCTTTCCCCCCATACTCCTATCCCCCCCCCCCTACCCCCCCCCCCCCCCCCTTACCCACTACCCCCCATACCCCTCCTCCCCCCCCCTCCCACATCTGTCAACCCGCCCCCCCCCCCACCCCCCCCCTCCCCCCCCCCCCCCCCCCCCGATAACCCGAGAGCATGTTGGCCTCCGCCACCGCTGCGCCTTGGACCCCGGTTCTGTTCACTGTATTTATCGGCCCGCCTATCTATCGGCGCGCCCGGGGCCCGGAGGTGGGGGTCCGTGCGTACGGGGGACCACCTGAATTCCACTACACCATATTAGGGCAGTATGACGACCAGCTGGCCCCCCCCCACAACACACCCCCCCCCCCCCCCCCCCCCTCCCCCCCCCCCCCCACAACCAAACCCCCCCCCACAAACCACCCCACCACGCCCCGCACCCCCCACCCCAAATCGCCAAGCCCATGGCGGTAATGCAGCGAGTGCCCAAAAGCGGCTGGGATAGAGATCAGCACCTCCAAATCGAGGCCATGGTCACGACCGGAAACCGGAGCCAAGCCCTCTTCAGGCGGGTGGGCGTCCAACCTCAAGATGCGGAGTTCCGTAACCGGGGACATAGTTACCCGAGAGCGGGGCGGCCTGGCGCGTGAGTTGCAGGGGATCGGTGCAGTAGGCCTAGCAGCGGGTCTCAGTATGGGACCGTTCGAGGTTAAAGAGGGAGCAGAGCCTACAGGCGAAGCTCTCGATTATACCGGTCAAACTACGTGCCACTACCACCCTAAGGTCCTTGAGCTTTGGGTACTGACGCAAGACTCTGCTGCGGCTAACACTCAGGTGAAATCGAGCATCCTACGCCAGACACAGAGTGGCAGGAGGCGCTCCCTTAGCTAATATAGGGATCGGCGCAGGTCCCCCTGTATTCGGCACGGGAGATAGCGTCCGCTAGCTACCTCCCGTTCGCGAGGCACCCCGTGAGGTGTAGCATCTGTGCAACAGATCGGCTTCCACATGACGCCTACAGGGATTTGTTACCAGGCCCGACCACCTGGAGGTGGCGGGGCCCCTGTTGACGACCCTCCCCACATGTGTCTCTACACATACACACCTCAGTCCACTTCCTCCAATTGGGACCCCCCTTACCTATCTAGTTCGTCTTATATATTATTCACTTTCCTACATTTCCCGTACAGCATCAACTCCATCGCACCCCTCTCACCTATTCCCCCTTCCCCTCCTTCCTCCCCATCATTCATTCCATCCCCTCGTCCCCAACATCCCCCCTTTAAATAATATTACACCCTTAGCAAAAGTTCCCCCCTAACCTACCAAAACATTCCACAACAAATTCCCATTCCCACAACCACACCCTTCCCTCAATATCCCTATCCCGTCCACACGCATCTCGCGCATACCCACATTCCCCTGTCAACCCCCCCACCTCATAAACCTCCCCCTCCCCCCCCCAACTCACATACCCCACCACATTCCCATATCCCAACCACCACCACACCTCACAACCCCCACTACTCTACATCCCACCCAATTAACCCCCATATAACCCAACCCACCCACCCCCCCACAACCCCACCCCCCCCCCCCCCCCCCCCCCTACACCACACCCCCCTACTACCACCCCCACCAAACCCCCCCACCCCCCAACCCCCCCCCCCCCCCCCCCCCCCCACCCCCCCCCAACCCCCCCCCCCCCCCCACCCCACCCCCAATCCAACCCCCCCCACCCCCCCCACACCCCCCCCCCACACCCCCCCCCCACCCCCCCACCCCCCCCCCCCCCCCCCCCCCCCCCCCCCCCCCCCCCAACCCCCCCCAACCCAACCCCCCCCCAACCAACCCCACCCCCCATACACCCCCCCCCCCCCCCCCACCCCCCCAACCCCCCCCCAACCCCCCCACCCCCCCACCCCCCCCTCTACCTCCCTAAGATACCACACCCACACCCACCCACCCCAATACCCCCCTCCCCCCCACCCCCCCCCCCAACACCCCCCCACCCCCCCCCCCCCCACCCCCCCCACCCCCCCCCCACCCACCTCCAAACCCCCCCCCCCACCACCCCCCCCCCCACCACACCCCCACACCACCCCCACCCCCCCCCACCCCCCCACCCCCACCCCCCCCCACCCCCTCCCCCCCCCCCCCTCCCTACCAATTTACCCAATAACCCCTCCACCCCCCCCCCCTCCCCCCCTCCCCCATATCACCCACCACCACCTAATAATACTAATCTCTCTTGTACCCCCCTACCCCCCCCCCCCCCCCCCCCCCCCCCCCCCCACCCCACCCCCCCCCCCCCTCCCACCCATTTCCCCCCCCCCCCCATATATATCTCCCCCCTCCCCCCAACAAAACCCCCCATTCACCCCACCCCCCCCCCCCCAACCACCCCAACCCCCCCCCCCCCCCCCCCCACCCCCAATCACCCCCACCCCCCCCCCCCATCCCCCACTATCTTCTCTCCATCCCCCCCACTCCCCCCAATCCACCACCACCCCCCCCCCTCTCCCCCCCCCCCCCACCATACCCCACCCCCCCCCCCCCAACCCCCCCCGACACTCCCCCTCCCCCCCTCCCACCGCCCACCACTCTCAACCCCCACCCCCCCCCAACCCCCCCCCCCTTACTGAAAGAAACCTGAAGAAACTGAATAAACTTCCCGTCTCTGTGAGGTTAATCTTCCACAGATGAATCAGTAAAGACAGTTGAAGAGTTTATTTGAAGGTATGAGTCATCGTTAATTTGGTAGATGACCGCAGAATAATCTATGATTGGTAGAACTAATTGTGTTATTATTTTCTTACTTACTTCCTGGGTAAAACAATTGCACGAACAAACCAGGGGGCCCATGTTGTTTTAATGATGTGATCAATATGGCTGTGTTCTGGTGCGTGGTGGTGTTGTTGTGTCTGGCATCTTGACCTGTAGCTTCTGCAGACCTCAAAGCGTTACTCTCTGTGATTGTTATGAAGGAGGATGGAAACCAGACCTGTGTGTATCTGTTTCACTTGGGGATTCTTACCTGTATTGTCTTTATATGTGGAATCATAGTCCAAGCTGCGTTAAGGGCCTGCACGCCTGCCCTTGTCCTCCTCATAAATAATCCTTATCTTGGTGTTGTTATTGTTGTGTTTTTTTGCCCCGTCACATCCAGATATTGTACCACCTGTCATGTACTGTGAGAAACAGAGCGCACAGCCTCTATCGTCTCCGAGCTTCTTCTACCTGGCTTTGTGCAATCTGTCAGGAGATCCGCTCAAAAAGGTCTTTGTCGGTGTCTTGGCTGAGAAAGAGCGAGCCTGGCTTCATCAGACCAGCCGTGATGAGGTGGAAGAGCACACTTACAGTCCCAGAGCTGAGGAACCACCAATAAACGGGTCACGTGTATTCACTTAAGACATGGTATTTTTGTTTGTTGTTCACGGAAAGGAACATGTTTCTGCACTAAAACACACACACTCCTGATAGTAATTTTATATTAATTGTTATTTTTATTTTGGTTATGCCGTTTCGACTACACACACAAGATTTTTCACCCACAATGCACGCCTTGCATGTTAATATTCATCTATTTTTCACAATATGTTATAAAAAATTGCGTTACTCAAGTATCAATTAAAATCACTTTTGCTTCTCCTGACTGATTTGATCGTGCAAGCCAACGACAAATCCAGCAGCCAATGGTTTGTGGAAAACTGGAAGGTTGTATCTGAACACTTAGCCCTCAGAGCACATGCTTCCACCTTGCCTTACGTTAACAAGGCAGCTGCTCACTCTCCGTAAAAGAAAAAAAAACACACGCACACACAAGCTGCAGGAGTTTTGTCATACTAAAAAAGAAGAAAAAATCTGTCTCCATTGTCCACTGTATTATCCATCTTCAAATATTCTCCTAATTTACTGAAGGCCACTTTGCATCAGCCGTGTCCCCAGACATAAAACCACCACAGTCTCATACATTCTGACCAGTTGCAATCATTCTGCTGGCTCCAAACAAAGAGAAAAATAAAAAAATGATTGCTTCTGGTTGAAGACTTGTCTATATTTGTCTGTGGACCTTTCCTTTTCCTTATTGTTTATTGTTCTTTCTTGCAAATTGAAAAAAAAAAAAAAAATGCTTCTTGCCTCGTTTGACGTCTGTGGAAATGCATGGAGCAGATTGTTTTGCTGCTGTGGTGCAAATGGAAGTCAGTTGAGCTGAGTGCTGTACGTGTGTCGGATTAGAGAGGGGAAAAAGCGCTCCGTGAGTGGCTGGCTTTCCGGTTTCTCTGTTGTGCTAGAGTCATGGTCAATTGAACTTTAAATGATCAATTTGGAATAGAAGAGCAGGTGATCAATGGCCTAATGGAGGAAATACCATCCATCCATTTTCTTCCGCTTTATCCGTTGCCGGGTCGCGGGGGCAGCAGTCTAAGCAGAGACGCCCAGACTTCCCTATCCACACACACCTCCTCCAGCTCGTCCGGGGGGACCCCTAGGCGTTCCCAGGCCAGCTGAGCGACATAGTCTCTCCAGCGTGTCCTGGGTCTTCCCCGGGGCCTCCTCCCGGTGGGACGTGCCCGGAACACCTCCCCAGGAAGGCGTCCAGGAGGCATCCTGAACAGATGCCCGAGCCACCTCAACTGGTTCCTCTCGACGTGGAGAAGCAGCGGCTCTACTCCGAGCTCCTCCCGTGTGACCGAGCTCCTCACCCTATCTCTAAGGGAGCGCCCAGCCACTCTGCGGAGGAAGCTCATTTCGACCGCTTGTATCCGCGATCTCGTTCTTTCGGTCATTACCCACAGCTCATGACCATAGGTGAGGGAGGGAACGAAGATTGACCGGTAAATTGAGAGCTTTGCCTTTCGGCTCAGCTCCCTCTTTACCACAACGGTCCGATACAGAGACCGCATCACTGCGCACGCTGCACCGATCCGCCTGTCAATCTCACGCTCCATCCTCCCCTCACTCGTGAACAAGACCCCGAGATACTTGAACTCCTCCACTTGAGGAAGGACCTCTCCACCCACCTGGAGAGGGCAAGGCACCTTTTTCCGGTCGAGCACCATGGCCTCGGATTTGGAGGTGCTGATTCTCATCCCAGCCGCTTCACACTCGGCTGCAAACTGTCCCAGTGCATGTTGCAGGTCCTGGTTCGTTGGAGCCAGCAGGACGACATCATCCGCAAAAAGTAGAGATGAAATCCTGTGGTTCCCGAACCGGACCCCCTCCGGCCCCTGGCTGCGCCTAGAGATTCTGTCCATAAATACAGTGAACAGAACCAGTGACAAAGGGCAGCCTTGGCGGAGGCCAACATGCACCGGGAACAGGTCTGACTTACTGCCGGCAATGCGAACACAGCTCTGGCTCCGGTCATACAGGGACCGAACAGCCCTCAGCAGAGGACCCCGGACCCCGTACTCCCGGAGGACCCCCCAAAGGACACCCCGGGGAACACGGTCGAACGCCTTCTCCAAATCCACAAAGCACATGTGGACAGGTTGGGCGAACTCCCATGAACCCTCGAGTATCCGATGGAGAGTATAGAGCTGGTCCAGTGTTCCGGGACGAAAACCACACTGCTCCTCCTGAATCCGAGATTTGACCATCGGACGTAGCCTCCTCTCCAGTACCTTGGAGTAGACCTTACCGGGGAGGCTGAGGAGTGTGATCCCACGATAATTGGAACACACCCTCCGGTCCCCCTTCTTGTAGAGAGGGACCACCACCCCGGTCTGCCACTCCATTGGCACCCCCGATCGCCACGCGATGTTGCAGAGACGTGTCAGCCAAGACAGTCCTACAACATCCAGAGACTTTAGATAGTCAGGACGGATCTCATCCACTCCCGGCGCCTTGCCACCATGGAGGCTGCCAACCACCTTGGTGACCTCGGCCAGGGAGACGGAAGTATCCGCCCCAACATCCTCAGCCTCTGCCTCCTGGACGGGGGACGTGACGGGGGGATTGAGGAGAACCTCAAAGTATTCCTTCCACCGCCCGACAATATCCCCAGTCGAGGTCAGCAGCCCTCCACCCGCACCATACACGGTGTTGGCAAAGAACTGCTTCCCCCTCCTGAGGCGCCGGACGGTTTGCCAGAACCTCTTCGAGGCCGACCGATAGTCATGCTCCATGGACTCTCCGAACTCCTCCCAGTCCCGGGTTTTTGCCTCTGCAACAGCCCGGGCCGCGGCACGTTTGGCCTGCCGGTACTGGACAGCTGCCTCAGGAGTCCCACGAACCATCATTGCTCGATAGGACTCCTTCTTCAGCCTGACGGCATCCCTTACTGCCGGTGTCCACCACCGGGTTCGGGGATTGCCGCCGGGACCAGCACCAGAGACCTTGCGACCACAGCTACGAGCCGCCGCATTGGCGATAGAGGAAGAGAACATGGTCCACTCGGACTCGATGTCCCCCTCCTCTGCCGGGACCTGGGAGAAGCTCTCCCGGAGGTGTGAGTTGAAAGTCCGTCTGACAGGGGGCTCACCAAGACGTTCCCAGCAAACCCTCACTACACGCTTGGGCCTGCCAGGTCTGACCGGCCTCCTGCCCTGCCGGCGGATCCAACTCACGACCAGGTGATGATCGGTTGACAGCTCCGCCCCTCTCTTCACCCGAGTGTCCGAGACACGCGGTCGAAGGTCAGATGATACGACTACAAAGTCGATCATCGACCTCCGGCCTAGGGTATCCTGGTGCCACGTGCACTGATGGATACCCTTGTGCTCGAACATGGTGTTCGTGATGGACAGGCCGTGACTGGCACAGAAGTCCAACAACTGAACACCGCTCGGGTTCAGATCAGGGGGGCCGCTCTTCCCGATCACCCCTCTCCAAGTGTCGCTGGCATTTCCCACATGGGCGTTGAAGTCCCCCAGGAGAATAACGGAGTCCCCGGGCGGTGCACTGTCCAGTACCCCTCCCAAGGACTCCAAGAAGGCCGGGTACTCTGCACTACCGTTAGGCCCGTAGGCCGTCACAACAGTGAGAGACTTGTCCCCCACCCGGAGGCGGAGGGACGCGACCCTCTCATTCACCGGGGAGAACTCCAACACGTGGCGGCTGAGATGGGGGGCAATGAGAATGGCCACCCCAGCTCGCCGCCTCTCCCCGCGGGAAACACCAGAAAAGTGGAGCGTCCAACCCCTCTCAAGGAGTTGGGTTCCAGAGCCCAAGCTGTGTGTGGAGGTGAGGCCGACTATCTCTAGTCGGTATCGCTCAACCTCCCCCACAAGCTCGGGCTCCTTCCCCCCCAGTGAGGTGACGTTCCACGTCCCAAGAGCCAGATGTTGGGTGTGTGGACTGGGTCGTCGAGGTCTCCGCCTTCGACTGCTGCCCAGTCCTCTCTGCACCTCGCCACCACGGACCCCTCTGCAGGTGGTGAGCCCACAGGAGGGACTGCCCACGTCATCCCTTTGGGCTGAGCCCGGCCGGGCCCCGTGGGCTGAGGCCCGGCCACCAGGCGCTCGCTTGCGAGCCCCGACCCCAGGCCTGGCTCCAGGGTGGGGCCCCGGCTGCGCCATGCCGGGCGACGTCACGG